TTTCTCTCTCCCTCTCTTTTTCTCGCTGTGTACTTGTGTGTTAACATTATGCGAGCCGCGCGCTGCATTTCCCCTCATCGAGCTTTCGCGCTGCTGCTGCTGCAGTTTATTCGCAAATATAAACCGTGCGCTCTCTCTTTACCTCTCTTTTACTCTGTTGCCTTTTCTCATTTTCTCTCTCTTTCTTCGAGTTTCGAGTAAAAGATTAGTATTATTATTTGCAAAGTTAATAGTAATTATATTGATGGAGAGAGAGATTTCAGTTTATATTTTATAACCGAGACAAATCGGAGTTGTTTTGATCTTAAAAGAGAATGTACAAGAGAGCGTATTACTTTGTTACTCAAAAAATGTTAATACAAGTACTAAAACTTATGAATAATTTTTGACAAAATTTTATGAAAAATAAGATCTTTAATTTCTGACGAGCAAAATCTTTGTTAGTTTTGTTTCTTTTTGTGTTCTCGGAATTTACTAAGTAACGAGAGAAGCTAGACAAGAAGATGAAAATTGTGTAATACAGAAAAAATATATCAATTGTAAAACAATTATTACGAAATAGTAACTATAATAAGTAGATGTTCAGTCAGCGCTTCGCTCCATTGTGCGCTCTTTCACGTACGTTCTTTCACGTCCGACTGCAAGATCTCTCTCTGTGGAAGGTGAAAGTTATGATGACATAATCGGTATTGGATCAACTCGATGTAATCAACACGTGGAAAAAACCGCGTAAACACAGTATTTCGTGCGATAAAATTAATTGCTAACATTAATAACGAAAAGTCGAAAAAACTTTCGCAAACGTCCGTACTTATCGGATGCAAAATTGGAGAGAAGAGTTTAATAGACTAATCTATATAGTAATCTGCGCAGTGTATCTCTTAATTAAAGGAAACGCGGAACACACACACACACACACATAAATCGTGGAAAAGCTCGATCGTGGTGCGACGGCTAGACGCCTCCTCATTCAGCGCTATACTGTTATAAGTTTATAGTCATAATTATAGAGTGTCGGCTCTTATGCAATGTGATAATAATATATCGTCATCTCCGCGACCTACATAATGAGATATTCTTATAACGTAAATGCGTCCTTAACCCTTTCATTGCTGAGAAACGCGACTCGATTTATGGTTGTAAATGTAATCAAAGCATCAAACTGATGGCGAATTTTATTTTTTTCTCCATTGTTACATAGTTTATTTTTTGTCACTTGTTGAATCCTTGTTTTTGTTATATGTGTACATATATACAACATTGTGTGTATATATATATATATATATGTATATGTATTTAACAACAATATATATTTTATTTGACGGATTATTATTTTATATCAGATACTCTCTTAAGATACTTCTACATCGAATAAAGAGACTACCATGTTTGACCTATCCCATAAAAGAGCCGAGAAACACATTGACCTTCCAACATAAACGGAACTCCCGACGGCTAATTGACTATCAACTAGAGAATTTCTCGGATACTCCAGAAATTCTCCCCGAACGGCCAATTACCTATTAGGACGCCCGTCTTATACCGATCACCAGTGACCAGAAAGCCAATTTTGGGAACGCATTTGATTTCACGGTTTCTCAAACGTTCGAGGGATGAACGCGGAGTATAAAAAGAAAGCAAAAGAAAAAGAAAGATAGACAGAAAATAAGAGAGAAAGAGAGAGAAACAGAGAGGGAAGGGGAAAAAAGAGAATAAACAAAAAAATGTCAGCTTTAATCAAAGCGAAGCGAGCGAGAGGGACTTCCGGTTGCCTAGATCTTCCGGCGCGCAGTAAACTGTTCCGGCGCGATGTGAAGCCATGGGAGAAGAGAGGTGAAAGGGGAGGGGTACACAGTATGTAGTAAAGGGTTTGTAGCACGCAGAGGGTGGTGGTTGTGGATTTGCACGACGAGAGAGAAGCAGCGGGGGCTGAAACGGGGGATAGGGGGTCTGAAGAAAACACATAATAGGGTGGGGCGCTTTGCTGCCGCTTTTGAATCGATCCAACGCCACAGCTACAGCTGGAACCTCATCCCCTCGCGCCTGACAGCGGTGCTCATTCTCTGCCCCTTTCTCTTCCTTTCTTTCTCTCTCGTTCTCTTTCTATTTCTCTATTTCTTTCTCTCTCTTTCTGTCTTCTCTTTTTCTCTGTCATTCTGTTTATCGTCACGCGAGCACTCTTATACGTTGCCTACTTCCTAATGACGGATTCTCGCAATAATTGGGCGCGGTACGTGAACTTTTTCTCCCCGATAAAAATATTCACGGAGTTTGGTTACTCGCCGCAAAAGTTTTGTAACTTTAGAACAAAAATTAAGTGAAAAAAAGAATGTTTTGCTTTACATCTCTTCCCTTAAGCTTTTATCTTCGCGCGCGTTATAGCTTGTACAATATATCTCCATTAAACTATTAAAATTCTTTTCAGTTTTGCATCTTTCTCGTAATAATCCTCTAGCTTTTGAGGTAACTTTCTTCTTCTATTTACGTTCTTGCGCTTCTACGAGCACGACCGGTAGAAGTGCATCTCCGAAACGTCGTAATAAAAGTAAAGTAGGTCTAGTTCGCAGGAATGGGAATGGTTACTTTGCATTGAGTAAGAATTCTCGCAGAATATTTTGAATGAAATCTATGTACGTATATATGTACGTATGCGCATGCAATGTGCGGAATTTGACTGACAATGAATTAAGCACGCTCCTCTAATCTAGTTGTATGCGAAGAGAAGACCGGTTTCATATGACATCGATTAAAAGAAATTGCATCTCTCTGTGCTCTTCCCTCGTATTTTTCAAATTAAATTACATGAAATGCGCAATATATATGTATATAATATCCCAATCTCTCTATTAAAAGTTATAAAAAGTTTTCTAACTCACAAAAAAGAAACATTATTTCTTCAAGTATCTTTTTTATGTTATTTTAAATAACATTTTCGCAAATATATTCAAACATCAGGCCGAGAGCACTTCGAATATGTGCAGCTTGTAATTATTTTCAAGAACTCACCGTTGTTGTTGCGTACAATGGAACCAGGACTGGTAGCCTCCAGAGGACTGCTCGGCTCGTCCTTCAAAGGACTCATTGGCTCTCCCTTCACGCTAAAATGAAGAGACATCTATTATGTATCTGGACGAAAGACGCGAGGCGATATTACACGGAAAGTAGTTCAAGTTCGAAAGGACAATCGGCATTATTCTCGCTGTAGCTCCATTTGACGCTCGATACCGCCGGGGCACAAGCCTTGGAACGGTGCAATAAAAGGTTGACCCAGTTTTGCTTACAATTCCCACACCAGATCCGGTTTTACGAAAAATTAATCAAGCCGAAAAATGAGCGGCGAAGAGCTAGAAAAATTGGCGATTTTTACATGCATCTGTCTCTTTGCGAACAATTCGCGCGATTAACGGTCGCTGTTTATTACGATATCGCGTCATCTGTGCAAGAAATCTTTACAGTTCTCGATGTGTTCTATACTTTTCCACGGTAAATTTTGAAATTTAACATTGGTGTTCAAATCGTTTTATAATTTAGACTATTAATTGATACCGATTTCACAGTCAAAAGGGGAAAAAAGAATGGTTGATATCATTTGTGATACTCATGTGTCGGCCGCTATTCCTAGTATCGTCGATAATTATCTTCTTTGGATAGATAGAATAAAGTGGGTCAACCGAAAATACCCCCGCGTATAGATATCCGATCATACGCGTCAGATTTTGTCTTTATAGCGTGATTTCGTGTCTTCGATCAAGCAAAGAAACGTCATAAATTTGTGACAAAAAAATATTTAAAAAAATTAATATATTATAAATAGAAGTACAGCAAAAAATGTAGATCAATCTTTTGTCAAGAAATAGAAATTCTGAAATAATTTTTTTAATGCAATCTGTTTTTGAAAGAAAAAACTATTTCATCAAATGCAACTTTGTATAAACTTTGTATGTGTCCGACACGATTCTTCAAATCTCATTATACGTTACGAATTATGTATAAGAGTTATATTAATTCATGCGACATGGAAAAGTACTTCGATAAAATTATGATGAAAAAATAAAAAAAACCACGTAGAAAAAAAAGAAACTTCATCTCCTGAATACAGCAAAAGTAGATGTTTGTTCTCTGCAATACTTTTTTTTCTTTCTTATTTACAAATGTTTTATGAAAAGACAAGTTTATTTTTTTACTGAAAAAGATTCATTATTAAATGCGGCAATTTTTAAACCAATACTGAAATAATTAATATCAAAATTATCATTGGATTATTATTTGAATTAAATTAATAGAACGAAATTATATTCTGAATACATATAAATTTTAATTAAAATCAATAAATCACTTTGAAATGGAATAGGTTAATTTTGGGGAAAGCTCCTACTTGCAGAGAGAAAGTGAGAGAAAGACACACATACACACAAACACACATACACACGCAAAATGTATTAAAAGATTGAAAAACTGTACTAAACGATTTACATTTTAACAATTTATGTGCGGACGAAAGGTGCCAGGAGAGACATTTGCGTATTTACTCGCAATTACAGAATAATCCGCCCATTCCGCATCACCATGCGCGCTGAATTAATTAGTATTGATTATTCGATACCATTGAGCCTGTATATAGCTAGCCGCTTTATTCATTTACCAAGCAACTGCGGTACAAAACGACATCAAGCAATCTGTATGTAAAATACAATAAAACACTATACTTATTGCAACATCATATACTTAGAAGCAACTATAAAAAAACGATATAAAAGTCACTTATTCTTTATTAATATCTCGGGTAAAAAATTACTAAGAACCCTTCGATTAATTTTTTAGGTCGATATAATTGTAAAACAAAAAAATTGAGCTTAAAACCTATAATTTTTTATGTTATTTCTGATGATTCTTTGCAGATTGAATGTTCGTTACGTTGGATTATGTTATTAACCTCCATTATTAATAAAAAAAAAAAATATTTTTTTTTACGTATTTATATCAAAATTTAAAAATTTCGCAAAATTGTAGCTTCAAAATTCAGAGACGTGTCACGGTGATCTGGCTCTCACGTCCCAAGAAGTCGACAGAATGGATTTAAAACTTTTTTCAACTGCAAAATTCTGCAAATTTATCCGGCTTTTGGATCGGTTGCTTTTCGCTATACTTGTCATGAAACATGGATGCTAGCCTCTAGGAGATCGAATATTCGCCACGGTGCGGCCCCGAATGGCTCGTTGTGCGCTTCGCTACTTGCATTTTTAAATCAACAGAATGGAGGAGCGAGCGCGCGGACTGGACGCTAGAGCGAGAGACGGCTGCACTTAATGCGTGCATTATTAATTGACGCCCGCGCGTATATACACCTGCGAATATGCGAACTTGTGCGAGACCCTTTACAGCCCTGCTGCCGAATCACAATATCACGCGCGCACAAACGCAAAATATTGTATCTTCTGAAGATATCACATTGTTCACAAGCGCATCGTCGCACTGTACTTTGAAAGCGCCACAATTGGTCCAACATGAGCTCGAACAGCAATTGTTTTCCTTGCAAATGTTGAAAACATTGTATGGAAATGTTTTACGACACTATCTTTTTAAACTTAGCACTTTTTGACAGTATTAACATAAATTTGTGTGCGAGTGATAAGAGATGTGAAAAAATTGCGTGCGAGAAATTCAAATCTAGTATGTATCTATTCAAATGAAGTACATTTCACGCGTATACACACACATAACTTTAGATTTTAGGCAGTGCGCACGGATATCTAATCGGCGAAGTAAGTTATAATGGCAAGTACGACTATAGTAGCGATCACATGATCAACTAATATCATGCTCACTATGGTCACAAAGAAAAAGAAAGTAATGTACGTTATAATGTTATATTACACGTGTTTGTAAAGTGTTTTTTTTTTTTTTTTTTTTTATAGTTCAGTTTTTCTATCGCGGGAAGAAAGAAAAACAAGGTCAAATTCTAGGAAACGCTGTGTACTCGTACAGTGCGTGTGCGCGTAAAAATTAGGTTTGTCTTTTCTCTACACTCTTGTAGTTTTTCTTTCTCTCTTTCTTTCTTTTTCTTTCTTGACTGCTCGACGCTATAACGAGGAAAATAAACTTCTTTTTATTGCGCGTACATCGTATAAATCTCTCCCGACACGAATTTAATTTTTAATATAATATATTGAAGCTCACCTCCGACGATCACACATAAAATAAAACGCAGTGTTTTGAAATCTACCGATAATAATTGAACCAATCCAAGCCTATCGAAATGATGATTTTGCGTTCCGCGAGTTGTAAGATCTCTCACCTGATGAACGTGAAATCCGCAGAAGGGCTCGACGGTCTCGGCGAGGAGCTCGCGGTGGACGCTGAATTTGTTTCCTCCACGTCCATCATCGTTCATTGCCGATGACGACCAGCACCACCACTACTACCAACACCACTACCGCGCTGCGATATTTCGCGATATCTCGCGAGAGAGGGAAGATTGATAAGAAAGAGGAGCACCGCGACGATTACGATTCGCGATGTTGACGACTTGCGAGCGGATCGGCAGGGTTTTATGACGGTAACAACAACGATAACGACAATGACCATCAATAGCTGCGTTCGGCCGATGTTATCTCGAACAGTCGATTTCCACGCGGGACAAAGAAACAGAAATCATAAAATCAAGGAAGCTTGAGCCGTGTGTGATTAGGGGAATCTGGGGTTGGTTTAATGCCCGGCGTCCGCGAGCGCGGGCTTACGGGTAACAACTGGCGAACGTCCTACCACCCTCATCGCTTCCATGCGGCGCGGGGCGCCGTGACGCCTGGCGAACCTGCGCCCCCGACACCTGCCGTGCAGGCACACAAACGTTGCGCAAGCGTCGCCGAGCGTCGCGGCGCTCCCGAAATCGAACATTGACGACGCCGAGGAACGTGAATTCCACATGCGGAATCCTTGAAACGGAATGGGAACGAGAAACGATAACAATGTGTGCCAATACTTGATTTTACTTTAACTTTTGAACTGTAAATAATTAACTTCTTCTAGAGAGCATAAATTAATTTTAAATTAATTTCAAATTCAATAAAATATCGACTTCTTGGGTTTTTCAGGATTTTGAATCTGTCTTTTATTTTTTTCTTTTTTGAGAAATTTATTTTAATACATAATGTTTATAATTGTATGTAATTATATTGTATTACATAGTATATATATTATTATTATTGTATTACATATGAAGACCACAAGAGAAGAAAGAACTTGATAAGTCAATCTTTTTGATTGTGTTTTTGATGTTATTTGATAGTTAAAATGGAGTTTTAATTATCCAAAAAGAACGAGAAAGGAAAATTCTTGATAGATTCTGAGATATTTAAATTTTATAAACCATTTTTATAAAACGTGTAACAGAAATACATACACGTTTCAAACTTTAAAATCGTTCTCTTCTAAAATTACGAAAATGTGACTTATCAAGTACTTCCCTTGTAGTCTTCATATTATATTTACCTTATTTTGTCTCCCCGTTTGAATCAAGTGCAGTGCTAGATTTACTTTTGGTGTTTTCCGAATAATGGTAGTATCTTCCAAAAGTTTCTCCCACCAATAATGGAAATATTAGAGTAGCGTCAGCGCATACCTGAAATATAAAATAACAGCGTTGCTTGATAATTTTAAATAACTGCTGTTCTGTGTGCATGGAAGAGATATTGTCGCGAGTTACTTTAACAGGTGCGGCGTCTTTCCGAATTTTTCCCCAGGAAATTGCTTCTTCAGGTCGAGCACCGCTGTCGCTGCCGTCAAATTCTGACGAAGTATTGATGAAAACAGCGTAATCTGCACCGTTTCTCTGTTTGTAAAATATAATATCATTGTGTGTGCAATATAACTCACATAATATGCTGAAAAATCACTTTACCATGAGGTTAGCGTTGCAAATGTGATGCTTTATCACACCACTTCCGACGATTATTATGCCACTCTTCAGTGCCTTCATAGCTATTCTATTCAATCTCTTCAAATCTAAAAAATTTGAAAATCAAACATAAATAAAATTATAAGACAACAAAATGTGTATTAAAACATTAAAACTAACCCGCAACTATATCTAGTACAAGTCCTGGATTTTTGTACGAATGAAAGAACATCATGTCACCAAGGCTGCCATCAGTTAAGGCTGGACAAAATACTGGAATCTTATTTTTCGCAGCCCAGTAGTAAATTGAATCTTCGTGATTGATTTCCTCACCTAATCTCGTTATCATTTTAGATGGTGTCCACAAAGTTCCCTAAGTTTAACCATAAAAATATAACTCTATATAAAACTATAACTCTATGTAATAACTATATAACTCTATCTAAAACTTTATATATAAATTTGTATTTTGTGTATAAACAGTATTCTTTATCAAAAATTTACATACTTTCTCCTTCTGTTCGGTAACCATTGTGTCTAATTTTGGCATCACCCAATCTTCAAACAAACAATAATTATCATTTGGCACTATTAAATTTCCTGTCCTATTAAGTCCATTTTCCCTGAGTTGTCTGTCATTTACATAGAAACTTCCAATGTATGTGGGTGCCATACATTTTATGAAATCTTCCTCTATTCCACCAGCTGTAGTAACAATGCAATCTACCTAAGAATGTTATATTTAGCATCAAAAAATACTTACAAAAAAGATCTGCTAAATAAAACTATCAAATGTATAAACGTACAAATTTATGTTGCACAAGAAATCGTATAATTTCTCTCACACCACTGGATACCATGTTTGATGTATATCCTAGAAATATTGTACATTGAGACTTTCGTTGTATAAATTCATCATCTTCTACTGTGTCTATTTGATCTTCTGCAAGAGGTATATGCCTTTGTTGTAGCATTTTATTTATTTCTTCGACTGCTAGTGCAAAATTTGTTGCTTGAAAGCCACAATGTAACATATTTTTAAATAATTCATGATAATCAAGTCCTTTATTGAAATCGTAACCTAGAAATATATACCTTTATTATCATTATTGTTTCTATAATAATAATAGTAATACTTGTACTAATAAACTAATTATTATTATACCCTAACCTACTAATTAATTATCGTATTATAAAATATATTGAAAAATTACCCTTTACTGTTACTGTACCAGCTGGAAGAGAAGTACTAGGCGTCAAGACAGCAGATTTTGCCAATTCTTGTGCCTTATCAGGTATATTTTCTTCTTTTTTATCATCCATAACAATATTTCTTGTAACCTAACCTTCAAAACTTATATATGTATATGATATGTATACATAGGTATATTCAATAATTGGCTGGGTTCAGCCAGAGAGAAAACTGATGATAGCAGAGAGAAGCCTGAAGGCCGAAGCACAGACATTTGCATAACGCATAAGACTAGATCCTCATGCAGACACCGGCGCTTTGACACCGAGCGTTGATTGGTGGAAAGCGGATGGTAAGGATAAAGGCAACCCTAATTTACCATCCGCTTTTCACTAATCAACGCTCGGTGTCAAATCACCAGTGTCTGCATGAGAATTCAGCCTAAGACATAAGAAAATCAACCAATCAAAGCTTTCTAGAATAAAAATGGAAGGCTGAATTGGTTGATGTTCTTATGTCTTATGCGTTATGCGTTATGCGTTATGCAAAAGTCTGTACTTCGGCCTTCTCTCTGTTATCAGTCTTCTCTCTGGCTGAACCCAGCCAATGATTGAACATATATGTACATATATAAGTTTTGAAGGTTAGGTTACAAGAAATATTGTTGTTATGAATGATAAAAAAGAAGAAAATATACCTGATAAAGCACAAGAATTGGCGAAATCTGCTGTCTTGACGCCTAGTACTTCTCTTCCAGCTGGTACAGCAACAATAAAGGGTAATTTACCGCTCGTTATTAGTAAAGTATAAATTAAACAAATCAAATCAACGCTCGCAATAACAAATAATAAATAAGATAATAAGGTCAATCGAGCTAAAATACTTAGGTGTTAACAAAAAATTTTTTTAATATAACAAATAATTAATTCAAAAAACAAACGTTTCGGCCCTGACTTGAGCCTTCTTCAGTGTGAGAAAAAATATAAATAAATATAAAAAAATATACAAAGTGAGTTTACATAATAATAATGATCAACGCAATAAATACATAAGAAAAGATGTTAATCAAGAAGGAAATAATGTAGTTTTTTAGTCTCACTCGGAATGCAGATCATCCTTGAAAATGTCAGTTTGTAAATTGTTGATGAGTGTAACAAGTTTATGTTGAAAATTTGAAAGTCAAACACTGAAAATGTAAATAAAGTAATAAAGTATAATATTAGTATACGTCGTATATAAATTGTTACGCAGTTCAGTCCTCAATGTTTTTGTAAACACGTTGTTATTGTAACTTGTATTCGCTCGTGAAGAATAATCGTTAGATTCTCTTTCTCTTGCGTTTTATTATATTTAAAGATATGGATACTACGTTAGCGAAAATTATTATTCACTGAGAAGTCAAGTCAACCATGTAAGTATTGGCATGTTCAGACATTTTCATTGATTTTCAGTAAGAGAAATAAAAAGACAGATGTACGCATTATTATATATAAATTATTTTTAGTTACATATTTACACGCGAATATACATATATGTACATGTATATTATCTTTATTTCACTCTTTATATCGCTAATTATAGTAAGATTTATATTAAGATTTTCCTATGAATATTTATACACATTTCATAAATTGTAAGACATTGTTCTGTCTTATTAATCTAAGCAAGATAAAAATAAGACTACATTAAGTGCATCAAGTTTTAAAAGTAGTTTTACTTTTGTAAAATATATCGAGATGATACTTATCGTATTTTGGGTCTTTTAAAACAACATATTTCCAATGTATAATTTCACCAATTAAAGCGAGAAAACTAAGAAAATAACCGATCAGGAGAGCAATGAGAGCCCCGTACAGTTTGCGCAAGTTTACTAAAGCTTTTTCTGACTCAAGTTTTTGTTGAAATTCATTGATCTTCGACTCTTCCATAACGTCGCTCAACCACTTGCGCACCAAACCGATTTCTGTCAACCGTCTTATCTGAAACAAAATAATTAATATTCTTTAATGATTGAACTTTTTGATCTGACAGATAAGAGATTGCATTTTTTGTCAACATGCCTTGTAGATATCTTATTTCTTGTTTTCATTATTTAAAAAAAAAACAAAATACACGTACCCATAAATCCACATGTGGTTTCAGCGGAGAATTCTTTTCCAACCCTAATGCGATCGGCATATGAACAAAACATTCTTCCATAATGTGCAGATTGTACTTCATTGGCGACTCAGTGTTTTTCTTGCTCTTGTTCCGATGACCATTTCCATTCTCGAAAATCCGTTTTCCGCGAATGTGTCGCAATAAATACGAGCTTTCGTAATAGCAGAACGTCCCGTTTTCCACCTGATTAACGGCATCTTCCTCGTTTTCCGTCAACTCGAACTTGTTTCCGATCTCCTGACTTTGCGGATCCGAAGAAGTGAGAAAAAACTCCTTGCTCTTTTCGTTCCATCCTCCCACCGCCAGCGACGATCTTGTTAGCTGAGCCAAAGTATCGATGGTTACCCTGAAATAAATGAAACAAATATAAAAGTCCACGGACAGCAAACTGCTAGATTTTAAATCGTATAGAAAAACTTTTCCGACAACACACACACACACACACATCTTTCTCTTTTTTTCTATTCTTCAATTAAATTCACATCCTATTTATCACTATACACAGTACTTGGCGACAGGATGCGAGAGGGTGGCCGTCATGCTGGCGCGATAAGTGACCGACGCCAAAATGCTGTAGATCCACCACCAGCCAATAAAAATTCTTACTGCCCAGGCATTTGGCAAACGTGGCAAAGAGACTTGAAGCAACATGCTGTACATGTACAATATGCTGTTCTGAAACTCGGTAAACAGGTACAGACTGTTCGTACTGTCATTTGTTTCATCGCGCTTTAAACACGTAAGCGAGCTTATGTGCTTCAGATAAAACAATGCGAAAATGTGGATGGCTCCACCGCCTATTAACAGAGTACAAAGAAGTGCGATCCATGTGTTCAGTCTGAAAACGCGAAAAAAATGGAACTTTGGAAAGTGTAAGTTATAATTTCATCACATAATTTCAAACACACAATCGATGTTTTTAGTGTTCTATATATTTTTATAAACCGCGTAATAATAATCTGAAAATATCAATATACGTATGTATGCCACACGTACCTGAAGGGTAGTATCAGTAATTTCCACGAATTATCCGTCAATGATTCCGGCGTTAGGAAAGTTAGACATTCCGTGTTGTATGGTGTGGATAGGTCGAGATAATTCAGATTATGTATCGTGTAATGCAGATCTCCAAGGAAGAAATCGGCATTTCCGGCGATCGCTTCGCCGAGAAGACCCGTGTAACTGTCGTTATCCCCTACTTTACCCCATTTCTCGCTCGCAATGTCAGAGGGCATGTAGTAATTTGGTTTGAAGTTCATCGCCTTTGCTATGACTCGTAGTAACTGGAACAATAAATCAACCTCAATCACGATTTCTGAATTATAATAATTTTTCGTCTCACTCGACGAGTATCACGTGATTGTGTCTTTAATAATTATTCATTATTAATTATTTAATTGCACACATAATTCTTCTGTTTTTCTCTATGTGTGACTTTAAATACATACTTCGAATTCGATACCTAAAGCTCTGCTAGAATTTGTGTTGCTATGTTGATAGTAATCTCGCGACGCCTCCGTCACGGCCGGTATGTGTTCGAATACCGCAACTCTGCAAAAAAAAGTTTCTAGAATCAATATTGAGAGATTATTAATTATGTTTTTCACGGATTTCAAATTGTCTGCAAAATACTAAAAAATCAAGAATGAAGTTCGAATTAAACGCATTTATAATCCGCAAATTTTTTTTTTATCTCTTTCTCTTTGAAATTATAGAAAACTGCACATTTATATACAGAAATTTTAATTTTTGTATGATTTTGTTCTCAAATTTTTCATCGTTTACAACAAAGTAAGCACATAACGTACTAACCGCAAAGCGCTGCCGTGAAGATTGTTGGTTTTCGATACGTAATGATCATTGCCGTAACGCAATTTACCGTTTTGCCACGTATCGATGTATCTGATTGTTGTAAGATCTTTCGTCCGCGACGGATAATAGACGGTATTGAGATCGATTTTTTCGTAGATCAGCTGTTCGCCCGAACGATACTTGTACGTATCGTATTGTCGTACGAACATCACATTAACGATTCGATTCCAGATGTAATGCAATTCGGGTCGAAACAACCGATTATCGTACAGAAGTAAAAAGTAACCACGTGTGTTGATCAGACGTTCCCTGTGACGGTATATAATCAGAAATATTACTTACAATATTTGTATTATAGTATTATTACAAAGACACATTTAATGTAAAGAGTTGCATAAAACAAATATAAAATTGTCGTGTGTGTTTGATAGAATTATTGTGCGGAGAGATAAGAATTGATAAATAATTGTTATAAGATTTCTATTGCGTTATACCATTTTTTTTTGTTACTTTTTTGCTCACCTTTCGACATACTGCAAAAAGCGTGATGTTAGCAGTCCGTTAGCTATCAATATAATATAGACATCACAGCTCGCTGCTTTCATATGCTGAAGTATTTTCGCTATTATCTTTCTCGGTTGTACAAAATCCTCATTATCGCGTAATGCGATCTGTGAATACAAGTAATATATTATACTTTAGATTTAATTAAAAAATGCACAATATCTAAATATATAAATAATATAAGATACTAAAAATATTTGATATAAACTAAAAAAAGAGGACTTTTTTCTCATTGTGCGTATGGTAGTATGTGGAAAGCCATATATGATCCACAAAAAAACTTGAAACGTGATCAAGACGTAATAACCAGCAAGCAAATACGATCACATGCCAGTAATATGTTAGCAAATATGCTTGAACTGTTTTATTAGTGGAATGAATCTTAATTAAATTCTAAAGGTCATATATTATACATCGTGACCTTTAAGAATTTAGTTAAGATTCAGTTTACGAGAAAGAAAGAAAAATAAAGATAAAACCGAAAAGTTTCAAATTAATATACATGTGAAAATATTAATATATTAATATTTTAATTTTTCTGTATAGTATAATTTTTTATGTGTATATTTTCATGCAGAAATAACAAAAGTAAGTAACTACATACGTTGATCTATATTATATAACTATATCAAATGTAACTATATCAAACGTTGATTTATATTATATAACTATATCAATTGTCAGTTAATTTTATTTAATATCTTTATGTCTACATTATCGTGCATAAGAATATGCTTTACATATATTCAGTTTCTTTGTATCGTGTATATTAATTATACATGATACAAAGTATAAAATATGTACGATAGGATAGGTCAATATCTACAGTCCCGCTACTCACAACCGTAACTTAAATGATGTATTCCTGAGACGATTTTGAGACAAAACTTCTAATATCATATTGTCGGGGCTATAATAGTTTTTGAATTATAAGCGTTTAAAAGTGACCTATTGGATGGCTTATATCTCGCGCGTTCAGATACAGCGCACTGTGCGCGATACTGTGTTCTTATATCTTGATAATTAGATAATGAAACAGAAATTATCTCAAAACATTTTGTCATTAAATCATATTTTAATACATATAATTAATATACAGTTTGTATGTGAAGAAAAAACAATTTTATCAAATTCTTGCAAATTTTTAATTATAACGTTTTTGACAAGCTGTCAAAGTTATGGTATGAAACTAGTAGCGCTAGCGTATTGATTGATTGTTCTCGCTTGTAGTAAAGTTGCTGCAATCAATAATTTTTTATATACTCGAGAAATTGATTGATTTTTTTTCTATTTATGTGACAGTTATTTAATTTATTACAATAGGAAATATTTTTGTAAATTTAAATTAATAACAAACAACAAGTCTTAAGAATTAATTTGTAATAAATTAAATACCTGTCATAAATAAAAAAATAATTTCAATTTCTCGAGTATATCAACAATTATTGATTGCAGCGACTTTACTACAAGCGAGAACAATCAATCAATACGCTAGCGCTACTAGTTTCATACTATAACTTTGACAGTTTGTCAAAAACGTTATAATTAAAAATTTGCAAGAATTTGATAAAATTGTTTTTTCTTCACATACAAACTGTATTAATTATATGTATTAAAATATGATTTAATGACAAAATGTTTTGAGATAATTTCTGTTTTATTATCTAATTATCAAGATATAAGAACACAGTATCGCGCACAGTGCGCTGTATCTGAACGCGCGAGATATAAGCCATCCAATAGGTCACTTTTAAACGCTTATAATTCAAAAACTATTATAGCCTCGACAATATGATATTAGAAGTTTCGTCTCAGGAATATGTCATTTAAGTTACGGTTGTGAGTAGCGGGACACCCTGTATATTTAGATCGTCTAAAGTTAAGATTTTTTTATCTTAAAATGAATATTAAACTTAAGCATAAGATTGGACTGTAATTGATTGGTGCAGTTATATATCTTTCTTCGGATTGAAAGATCGGACTATATGAGAATACCGGTCATATATATGTGCAAATTATTATTTACGTTATATGAGAGAGAAGCCGATATTCCTGAATTTATATGCACATCAAGTAGTCTGCGATAAGCGTAATCTGTAACATAAGTCATACAACTGCTGCGAGTGGCGAGTTCTTCCACGACTCGTTCGATGAGCGATTTCAGATTGTTAATTTTACTATCGCACTGCTGCATTTGTTTGAAATTTATCCTGCAATTGTACAAAGACATTTCTTTGGTAATTGTTATTATTCTATTCAAATCTTGCAAATGCGTTTGGAGATTTATATTTCGTATATTTTCGTATATTTTGTTTGCTAAAAACACCTTGTATATTTTATGTTTGCCAAAACAGCTTGCTCTATACATTTCTTATAATATTATAATGGATAACTTCAAATTAATTGTAGTTAACTCAAAAAAAAAACAAAAAAAACAACTGTCACTTTTAAATTACCTGGCATGAGTACATTGTAAAGTTAAGATAAAAACTAACAACGTCACTCTGGGGCGCATGTCGGAATATTTATCTGCAATTTATTCAACGGGTTCGAATAATGTTTTGCTCGTATATCGATGTATTGATTTCTCGAAGCCGTTTAATTTTCTCTTTTGTAGCGATATTTAATATTTAACGATCTCGTTTGTAGTAGACCTACATTTCTATACAAATCTTCATTACGTGTTCATTAGACGTCACATGTAGTTACTGACGTTTAATGGACGTTACGTGTGTACGGTAATTGTCTCATCTATATAATATGATAATTGTTGATAATTGTTGATTAATCTTGCATACATCGAAAATTTTTGAATGCTATTACTTGATCGAATGATGCGTTGAAGATTTCAATGTGTATTTATAAATTTATGTTTGTGTGGCACAAGATATTTGTTGCGCAAGAATTATTTTTGCAAATACACAAGTAATAAAATAAACAAGAGTTTATCAAAAATTTAAGATTTTATTTTTTTTAATCTCGGAAAGCAGTTTAAGTCATTTTTATTTTTGGTTCGAATTAAAATTTCTCATATCTTTTAAAATTTAATTTTTATTTATCAGTTATTTTCAATGATTTATGATAAATTTGATTGATACGCGATTAATATATAATCGGTCAAAGTGACAGAAAACAACTTAAATGAAAAAAAACCTGAGATATGCTAAGTTACGTGCGATCTGCAGGCGTGCGGTTTGTGTTCTTTTATATATCGAAGCTTTATCTGTTTTATACAGTCTATCAGAATACTCGTTCAGGCGCGTTACGAATACTCTACCTACCTACTACGTAGTGCGACGTAATCAAGTCGTTTTAGTAGATATTCTACATCTTTCGAACTCGTGTATGTATTGTGATGTTGGAATTTATTTCAGTGATTATTATAAAACAAAAATAAGTATACGTGCACACAAGAAAGTGATAGAAAAGTTTTATGTTAAAAGTTGATATTTATAGTTCAATTACTTTTTTTTAGCTTTAATTTCTAAAAATAAATTATTGCTTGAGTTCTGAAGTGAGAGCAAAATTAATGCAATATGAACTTTAATTAGTGCGTATCAATGATGTCACTACACAAATGTGTTCGACTTATTTATTAATAAATTCAACAGTGTCTTTTTAATAGAGACAGCTTGAAAAATATTCCACATATCAGAGGAGAATAATTTTAATTAGTTTAGTTGTTAATTCATTAATTTAGTTAGTTTAGTAATCAACAAGTTATTACAATCATTTATAAATAGTTGTCGGTAAAAACATAAATAAAACATGAAGAAAAGAGAAAGTCAATATAGGCGTGAACATTGAAGTTTGTCCCCTGTAAAGTACAAAATTGCTTGTCACGCCGTCTGCTTTGCTCTATCTTTAGTGACGCCTAGAGACAAATATCTCAATTATAAAACAATAGATTTGTTTCATAAAGCCCATTCTACATTAAACGTAAGATGCAATCGCAAATAGCAGGTCTCGTGGAATTGACCAATCACGTTGGTCAATTGGCTGATTTAATCAATGCGATTAGTCAATTCTATTCGAGATTTACTTGAGTTTGCGTCTTGCGCTTAATATAGAACAGGCTTAATGTATACTGGAAAAAAAGAAAAGAAGAAGACATATAGTTGATGTGTTTTTTATGTTTGTGCAATTCATACTGTATAATAAATAAACTACAATGGGTGCGGTCAAAGTCTCATTGCAAATGTTTTGATGCATCGTTTTATCTTTATTCTTCGTTAAATGTTGAATAAAGATAGACAGATGCTTCGAAACAAGCGCAGTGAAACTTTGACCGAACTCAATATGATTACATAAAAGAAAAATTTTATATAATTCAAAGTGCAAAAAGAAATTGTTAAAAATGTAATGATAAAAAAAGAAGAATGATTAAACATCGATGTTTGAGCACTGATAACTTATCTACACACTTGAATTCTGTAAATCAAGATCAACTCGTATTTTATATATTCAATTTTCTTCTATTTTTACACATATCATTGTTGTATAAATACTTTCATCAGAAATACGAGTAATCACATTTGCTATAAAAGTTATATCAAGTGGATATTAGTGGAATAGCTGTGATGAAAGGAGACTTTGCGAGTTTGAATTGTGCGGAAATTTGCTGTGTCACAAATATGGCCGATATTCAAAGTCCGTTCTGATATTTAAGATATATTTATCTTAAAATGGTGCATCTTATTGAGATACAGATTTGACATTTGACACGAGATTACACTTGTGCAAAAAATATGAGCAACGCAAAAAATCTTGTGCTTTTTACGCGTCCTATTAGTTATTGTGATGAGTAACGTTGCTACTTGTTAAATCGGACTTGACCTCTTGAAAAACTTTTGTATACAAAAATCTAAAGTTTACGTTACATACATATGGTATAGATTTTCGTATTGAAAAGTATTCAAAAAGACTCAGGTATCGAGAAGCCTTAATAATGGCAAATTTGGTTCGTAGATGTTATTTACGTGCAATGTACAATTTCAGTTTGACAAGAGGTAAACACGCGATGCCTAACATCAATAATTTGATAAAAGATTTGCCCCATGGACCACTGGATGCTTATAGAAAACAAGCAACATTCAACTGGAAATCGCTCAAACTAACTTTAGAAGGAGAAGATGGTGTGGAGGCTCAGGTATTACAATCAAGATATATATATATATATATAGGACATGTATTTACATTTAAAAGTACACCAAAGAGAACAGTAATTTAAAGTATTTTGGTGTATGAATATTTAGAACAGAATATGGAGAATTATTGAAACCCATCCGGCATTTCAAAGAACAAAAAGATCACTTACCTTGGATGAAGCTCGAAGACGCTGCAATGCTCAAATGCGAGTAATTGCGGAGAATGACTTATTTGTAATTATAATTTATATGTATAATAATTGCCTGATTGTATTTCATATATTCTGTAATTGTTGTAAAAGATATATTCAAACTCATTACATCTAATTTTTGGTTTTTTATATAATTTATACATATTTATATACTAATGTTTGTTTAATTTTTATAGCAATTTTCAAATAGACATAGTATTTATCTCCATCAGTGTTGTTTATCTGCAGCAATAAAATTTGGTATTTCTCGTGGCATGGTACCAAGTGCTTTAATGACACTGGGCACTGAACAGCATCAGCCTTTTTTACAAGAAATTATTGATGGAAATGTATGTACGAAACAATATATTGTAACACATATGAGATCATTATTATAATATATACACACATATAAATATATAATATTGTATTTAGTACACTTGCTGCTTTGCTCTGACTGAAATCTCTCACGGGACTAATACAAGAGGCATGCAAACCACAGCAACATATGATGTAGCAACAAAAAGTTTTATTCTTCATACACCCAGCTTTGAAGCTGCAAAGTGTTGGGTAGGTAATTTAGGTAAGTTGAATTTTTTCAGTGCTTGTAATGAATAAGAGATGTATTATTATTATTAATGTAATATGTATTTAGGAAAATCTTCCACACATGCAATTGTATATGCTCAACTAATTACACCGGATAGAACAAACCATGGTTTACATCCTTTCATTGTGCCAATTCGTGATCCAGAAACTCACTTACCTTATCCCCGTGTTACCGTGGGCGATATGGGTGAGAAAATAGGACTCAATGGAATAGATAATGGATTTGTAATATTCGACAATTATCCTATACCGCGTATATGCTTGTTAAATCGTACAGCTGATGTCAGCGAAAGCGGACAGTATATACTTGCTGTAAAAAATGAACGAAAAAGATTTGGTGAGCACATTAGCATTAGCAGATTCAACAATAATAAATTTATTCTATTAGTATCTTATTTGTATTGTTATAGGAGCATCTCTGGGAGCATTGTCGGCAGGTCGTGTCACTATTACTGGACTGTGTACGCAGTGTTTGTTACTTGCGTTGACGATTGCTATACGTTATTGTGCGGTAAGGAAACAGTTTGGTCCTACTCCGGATAATGAATTGCCTGTTATTGAATATCAAACACAGGTGAGTATCTTAGTACGATTTTTATTTCGATATTCGAAGAAAACATATAACAATTATTTCTCAATTTGTCTTGTGTGTGTCTCAGCAATGGCGAATCATTCCTCACTTAGCTACATTATATACAATGAAAATATTTTCAAGTAACTTCTTAAACATATTAGTGGAATTTAATCTCGAACGTCTTTCGGGAAGAAACGATGACTGGATTGTCGATCTAGGAGTAGAAATGCATGCTTTATCTTCTGCAGCGAAACCTCTGTGCTCCTGGCTTGCTCGTGATGCCATTCAGGATTGCAGAGAATCTTGCGGTGGTCACGGATATTTGAAAAGTACGTGTAGATAGTATTACACACATTTATGTGATGTACATGTGTTACATGTATACATACATAAAAATAATTTTTTTAATAGTATATAAAAAATATTTTTTAATAAAACAATTACACATTAATAATTCAATTTATCTTATTAGTGTCGCGCTTGGGTGACTTAAGAGCTGAAAACGATGCAAACTGTACGTACGAGGGTGAAAACAATGTACTCATTCAGCAAACAAGTAATTGGTTATTGACTCAATGGGCTAATGTAATTAATGGACAATCTGTGCAATCTCCACTTCATACTATAGATTTTATTGGCGCAAAAGAAATATTTAATATGAGATTTAATCAAACTACAGTAGAAGATACAATGAGGGTTGAAAGTATGAAAAAAAAACAAACTTTTACTATAACAAGATATATATTAAAATTTATGAGTTCAATATTTGCGGGTTTACATGTCATTAATATTCTATTTTTTCATTTATAGATCTGCTAGAAGCTTTCAAGTGGCTAGTTTGCTATTATTTAAAAAAGACATACGAACGTGTAAAAAATCTCAAAGCAAGTGGAATGACTGATTTTGATGCAAGAAATAATTCTCAATCGTTTTTGGCGCGAACCCTGTCTCTCGTATATGCAGAAGTAAATACATACATAATATTGTTGCGTTCTTGTCCGATTCGTTTTTTTCAAAATATATATATATATCGCGGTTAATAAAATAAATACTTTATTTGCCACAGAACAAAACCTAATGCAATCTTCGCATTTTTCTTTCATTTGATCGCTTCAATTTGTTTCTTCACTCCGTTCATGGGAAACATCGCAATATACAAAGGCGACCGCAACACTACTTTAAAAATTATTTTGTTTTTAATGAAAAAATTACGTTTTTAAGAATTTTATTTTTAATGAAATGCACGTTTTTGTATAATATTCTTTCTGTGTAACCAATCACATTCTATCGTAACTCTGTCACAGAACACAAACTAATATTAATTTCTTGGTCTTCTTCTAGCACGTGTTGATAGCAGAGTTTGTTAAAACACTAAAAGATCCGAAATGGAAAGCAAATGAACGAGAAGTGTTAACTAAATTGTGTTCTCTATTCGCGGCTGTAACATTAGAGAAAAGAATGGGAGATTTGTACGCGGGTGGTTATGCTTCGCCTAATTCTAACATAGATGGCTTTCTGCGAGAAGGAATCATAACATTATGCAAAGAATTAGCCAGTGATGCGGTTGCGTTGATTGATGTTTTGGCACCACCGGACTTTGTTGTTAATTCTCCTCTCGGAATGTCCGATGGCCAGGTATTTTGCTTCTAATTATTTTATGTTGAATTTATGATCAAAAGAGATAAATATAGATGTGTAAAATTATAATTTCTTATCTAGGTGTACAAGCACATGAAAGAATGGATATTCGAGAACAAAGAGAATTTTGAACGTCCATCGTGGTGGAGGGAAATTCGCCCAAAATTGTAAACATCACAAATTATAAGATCAACTCACAAGATCGATTCTATCGAAATCACTTCTATTCCTTTTTATCTATGGACTTGGCGATATCTTCGAAATGTAGAATCTAAACTCATTGGTATTTTTACAAGGTTGGTTTAAATAATAATAATAGAATATTTTAATAATATATATCGTGATAATATTGTTGTTTTATATGGGTCGGTTATTTCTTTACTTTTTGCGAGAGAAGACAAAAAATAAAGCTGTACGTCGCAAGAATCTTACACTGTCAGTTTGTTATGTGATCAATAATTATTTCTTTAATATCAAATTAATATTTTTAACATAAGATCGATAAAAAATATATATTTTTTATATATTATAATCTAAAGAAGAATTGTTATACCTATATATATATATATATATCACAAAACATTTTATTACATAAATAACATAGACATAAAATCAAGACGGAGCGCCGCGACTCCGAAACGCCGAAAGTCGAACGCGAAGCGACGCGATCGGAAACTCGATCGATCGATTCGCTCCGTGGTGCGGGTGAGTGCGCGCGCTCGCTCGAACAAACCGTTATGTTAACCGCGACACGTGAATTACATCACGATACGCGTCGATCGATAAATGTGTGCAAACAAATGTCACAAATCGAATCGCATTTATACGACTAGATATACATTTAGTTCAAATATTACAACTTGTCCTCAATGTGCGAATTGAATACATTTGTTTCGAGCGGTTCGTATGATTCATCGGAGTCGTCGTCGTCATCATCGTCGCCGTCGTCGTCACCGTTGATCAAAGCGAGTCCGCAGGATTCGAGAGTTTTTTTGATCCAACGGCGATACGGATAGACCTTGGTTGAAAACAATTCACCTCGCGGATTCGTGGAACAATCCGATGCCGATGTACCTGAAATCAAGGCGGCCAATTCTGGTTTTCCGTTCGAACGACGGTACACAACAAGACCGCCGGAGTCTCCGTTGCACGGTAACGATCCGTTGTTATGAATACAAAGAATTCGTTCGTCGTCTATGTCGCACTCGTCAGACGGAACACCGAACGTATACGTGTGCATGAGTCGATTCGATTTCTTTTCATCGGTAACCCCACCCCAACTTATAACAGTTAGATTCGCGTTGTCGTAATTGCGTTCCTTCGTGGGTAGTTTTATCGCTTCTATCTTGGCATCGAATTCCATCTCGTCCTCCGTAACCAATAATCCGATATCATTTATGAGACCCGAACGCTTCTTGTGTTCTTTAAACGATTCGATGTCGTATAAAATTCCGCTTTTGTACTTGACCGGACCCACGCGAACGAACACTTCCTCGGGATCTTCTATGTGACGCAAGCAACGCCCAGCTGTGAGTACAGCGCGGTTCGATATTATAACTCCTGTGCAAAACGGTCGCTTTGATTCACCCGCGACAATAGCAGCAACGTACGGAAACTCTCCGGATTTAGCGGTAGTTCCGTTGATGATAAAGAACGGTGGTTTGATCTCGTTCAGAGGAGATATAGGTGCGTTCGATGTTGCAACCGAATCGGTCGATTGCTTTGTTACCGGTGCAACAGTTCGACGATAGTTGCTCTTCAAAAGCGACATCGCCGTTGACGAGTGAACATCCAGCGCGTACTTCCCGAATGCTGAAACGAGTCGATTTGGTGCGACTAACGGTTTCGTTGGTAAAGATTCAGCCTGTTTGATCGCGATTTGAATCTGATTCAATTGTTTAGCATCGAACATACGAACTGTCCATACGGCGTCGTCGTTTACGACACACGGCGAATTGTTCTCGTTGAACAATCCTCCGACTAGGTCACCGTTTTTGTTCAAGAGCATGTCACCGAGCCGAAAGTGACACGGACCGACGTGACCCTCGTTCTCGATACAATTGTACCATCGCGATTCGCATTTGCCGAAATACATCGTGGTTTTTTGAGCTTTATTGCGCAACCACGACAGTACGACGGCCTCGTCGCCGACGCGCCATAGAGTGGACAGGTTCGCAATCGGCAAACTAGATCCAACGTCCACGGGTTCGTTCAATATACCGAGTGTATAATCGTACAAAATGTCGCCTTCTATCAACACGGTTTCGATCACGCGATATCGCTTCGAAGTTTTCACATCGTTCGACCCGACGAAAACGTCGCCGCCGAAGATCAAATTCGGATATACGGTTAAAACAACTCTATCGGAGATCAGAGCGGCTCCGCCGTATCGTCCTTCGATCGCGACGAAGAAAGGATATTCTCCGCTGCGCAATTCACGCGGCATGGGTTGTTTTCCCCATTCGTCGAATACCGGTTCCTGTAACATGAGAAAAAAACGCACGTTGGACAAATTGCGAATTGAAACAATTTACGGCGCGAGGTGAAGAAGTAAGAACCTAAATTAATCTTCTTTAATTGAAAAGGATTCGAACTTTCGCGGCTCTTATTTTTTCACTTCGCGCCGTATATTTTTTTTCAAATTTGCGCGCGTTGCTACGAAGCGCAAATTTGAAAAAATCGATGTACAAACTATACGTAAACTGCAATACCTTTGTTGCGTAAGACGAGAATCTGGCATCGTGCTTGTTGATCGCTTCAATTTTCAACAACACGGAACACAAAGTCAGAGCGACGCACAAGGCGCACGTTCCCGAAGCGATTCGAGTCATATGTGCGAACTCGTATATTTGTGACGTTGTATCAAACTTGTGTTTTTTGTAGTCGCACTATATATCCAATATCGTTTTGTTGCGCGCCGCTAACCTTCTGACAAACAATGCGACAATTGAATAAATTATTACGAACAACTCGATCGAATTACGCAAAGTGTTTTTTTACGTACCTGTCTCTCGTGTACCGCAAATTCACAGACGCGTGCACTTATCTAAGGTACGTGCGAAAGATCGTTCCAATTTATACAAGTTGCATTATCTGCATCGCTCATCGAAAAATGTTTCGTTAATCGTATCGAATGATAAGGAAAAATTCGGAAAAATCGATCGGATAATAAGGAAAAAAGAGGATCAATGATAACAATGTACATGCGACAAAAAAACTCTTTATTATCACTGTTGACAGCTTGTTTTTTTACGATTAGACGCGATTAGCGCTTCGTTATCTCCGCGTTTCGACGTACGGACGACTCGTTTCGGATTCTCGTCCGCTCTTCGAATTCGCAACCCGATCCCGCGATTCCCGTCGCGTCGAGAGCGATACATCGCTCCGCGTTTTCGCGGAAACCAAAACGATCGATCGATACAAACGACGCTTCTCAGTCGCGCTTCGTCTTGATGTTACGTCTATGATAAATAATATATTTTGTTATTGCTATATATATGTACTATTGAATATAAAAAAACTGTTTTATTACTAAAAACGTTTATTATACTAAAAACAACTTTTATACATCTACTTCTCTATAAGATTCTCGATAGATACAAAATAATGTCCGAGAAACGATTTTTTATAATGTGGTTTTGCAATTAGGAATATAAAAAAAAAAAAAAAAATTATAAACGATGAACAATTATAATTCTGTATGTAGTTGTGTTCTTTCTTTATGACTTAAAATACTATCTGTATCTGCAAACCATTCGTCATATATATCTACAGGATCGATATTCCAAAATCCGTGAAATGATATGGGTTCTTGAGACGCTAAATAAGGATAAGCGTAATCTAGGGGACGTGCCTAAAATGATCAAATTTGAGTTAATACGTATCACGTAATTGAGTGTGCATGCGCGCGCACATACGGTTTTTTGAATACGATCTGAATATGTAACAACACTCTGTAAAGGTAGAAAACTCATTTATGAATTAGGAAAAATATACCTGATGAAACAGCGGAGAATGCACAGGTTTAATTCCAAGTATCTTCAGACAATTTCCAAAAAGATACATATCGTCGGGAGTAGTCGCTTCTGGACAAGAACATACTTTTACTATTCGATGAACCAAAGAAGCTGATAAAGCAACTCCCCCACCACTAGTTAAATATTCAAATCCATTATCCAAATCCCATATACGAAAGCCATAACGTTCGCCAATCGCAACTGGACGGTCGGAATTGTAACATGTGAGCAAACGTAATAAACGCACCGGACTGTAACACAATATTGTGAAGTATATTGTTGTAATCTTGAACGCAAATATGGAACTGCTTGATAACTTTAATTCTATTTTATGTTTACCTTAATATGGTGTCATCGTCGCTGATGACAAGCCATTTAAAACGATTTGTTTTTAATATATGGTCAGCTTTTTGTAAGATAGAATAAGTTTTCAAGCAATGTCCCGTGGTTGTGTTTGGTACGACATATGCTTCTGGTAAATTTCTGTCTGCATAAAATCAATTCAGCAACATGAAAATTGAACATACATTGAAGCACATTTAACGCCATTAATCATACCTGCCACGTCACTGAAATATCCAATATTTATCAAGTTTTTTGCCCAAGTGTTTTTAATCACTGGAATTCTGTTTGTATGATATTTGGCACATGTCTTGACAGCAAAATATGTATGCTCTGGAAGTATGGTAAAATTCTGTAAAAATTGTAAAAAAATTTATAACAATTTATTTTTAATAAAGATAATTATTCTTAAATAATTTATTAAGGCTCCTAGATACTACTTTAATGGATTTTATCAACTTGTGTTCTTAAATAGTAGCGGAAACACAAAATCTAATTTATCTTGTTGTAAACTGCGTGATAAAATAAATTTGTGATTTCTCACTTTTGACATTATAATACAATATGATTCAAGTAATTACTCTAGGAACCTTCAAATAGTAATTATATATTTTTGTATAACAGTTTTTGTAAAATACATACGCAAGCCTCCAAGTATCGGACATATGTAGCACAATTAAGAGTAGATACAATACATAGCTTGGACTCATGAGTTAATTTTGTATTCGAACTGTCTAAAACAAATTTTGCAAATTCCCATGCCATATCAATAGAAAACTCATTTTTTAGTTTATAGCTTTCAATATGTTTTATTAATCTGAAAAATATTCAATTAAATTTTATATAGTGATTATTTAATCTAGAAATTAAATGTTCCATATACCTCTGCATTAACACAGAAGTCATGGCAAATCCAGAAGCAAGAAGCGGATATTTAAATGTCTTCTTTATTGCAAAGTGATGAATAATGCTAGGTTCTTGATCAAAAAGTGTCTGTCCAATCCACAGATTCTGTATAAAAACAAATTATTTAGAAAAATTTAAAAATGATCTTTTAAATATAAAATTATTAAGTTCTAGATTAAAATATATTGTGTCTTTTACCTGAGATGAGTTGTAATTGCCAAGAACATTCAATAGTTTCTCTAATTGGACCATAGTATTTTCCAAACAAAAGAAGAACCATTTTATTTCAGAAGCTGTAACTTGTTTTATATATTTTAAAAATGGAGTAATCATCCAAGAACCTTGAATGAAGAAATCTCTATGAGTTAAGAAAATTTTTGGTGATTCCTAAAATAAAGCAAAATATATACAATAAGTATATATTTACAACTTGGTAATGATTATACAAGTATGTTATAACACTATATTATTCTCAATAAAAATATGCATAAAAAACTAATTAATTGTGATATAGTATTTATATGTCAGTTTTTATTTATAAAACATACTTTATCAAAACTAATAGCTTGCTCTTTGATGTGAGTCTCCAAAGATGTAGCAAGAGCTTCATTATAAGGTTCTTCTTGGCTCAATACTACTATTACTATTTCTTTAGATTCTAAAAACATAGTTACAGTCTTTTTATATTTAATTATTTAAAAAAAATGATAAGAAATATATAAAAGTACGTGTAAATTTTAGAAATACCTATTTCATCCGTACTTGCAGTCACAATTAATAATGTGTAAATGAGAAGAGCAAAGTTCATCGCTAATCCCATTTCTATCAAATTGTGTGCTTAGCGCAAAACTAAAAAATAAATAAAAATTTATGTATATTTATTATAACTTTTTGAATAACACACATTTTAATAACACACATTTTTTAATAACACATTTGAATAAAAAACTTCTTTATTTCAAAAATAAAAATTGTTAAAGATTCTTTTTATTTCGAAAACTTCATTATTAAAAAAAAAATTATAATTGAATGCATTTCGTTCATTGACAATTATATCCAAATGTTATTTATTTCTTCTACATATTTCCGCACTTTTCAGTCAATTATGTATACCAAATCTTTAATCAGATCAGAAATAATGTTATAAATGTTATGTCCACGAAAACAGATAAAATGTGATCATCGCTTTAGCACTCATGTCCGATGTTGAATGTGCAAATATTTATACATGTGTCAAGAGCCGAGAGAGAGAAATCAAATTTGTGTTCACAAAAGAAATGTTAAATTTGTTGCATATAAATGTTGCGTTAAAAACTGCATCAGTAAAATTGAACAAAATAAATATCAATTTATTGCAACAAGAAAAGAAAAAAATTATTATTTGCTACCAACTTATACTTCTTTATTTATATAGTTATGTGTACTATCACTTTTACTTCGAGTATCCTAACCTTGCAAATATTGCCGAAGCTTTGGCGCCAACATTTCGTTGATATGTTGTTGGTTGGTTTGTTGTCGCAGCGCAGAACGCAGTGCGTTAAATTGAACACTTTTGAACATTGCTTGTATGTAATACACAATAATATTTCAACACATATGCAGTAAGGTATGTACTTGAAACTTTTTGAAAGAAAGAAAAGAATTATTTGAGTTGCTCAAACTTGTAATTTAGCTGTTATCTGTTTAATGTTGAATCAAAACTAATAATAATAAGGCAAACTTTTATATACATATGTACACACACTATCAGTTATGATTTATATATTGTAAAAAAAAACCGATTACATACAAGTAAATACTAATAATTCAATTCTCTTTTGAACTTTAGATAAAGCTAGTGACAGAATTCCCGATTGTCGCCCCTGACGTTTATGCACTTATTCACAGCTTATCAGTCGTCATGAGTGTTGTATGTCAGAAACATAGAAGACTGAAGTTACTAAAGTTAACATAACCTCAATTTCATCTGTTTTCTTTTGTGTATTATACACACTTGTAAAAAATCTGTGTCCTTACTTATGTTATTCATTGCAGATGCATATGTGGTTTTGGTTTGATGTAAATCTAGGCAGTTTTCTCTTCCCAGGATATAATGTAACCACATTATGGGGTCTTGTAGCAACATGTTTAGGCCTAGCAGCTCTTGCTGTGTTATATGAGGGCATGAAGGTCAACCATATTTATTTACAACAGATTACAATTACTTCTGTACCTAGAACAAACTCATCTTCCTCCGAAAACTTGTCTCTTTTATCCAAAATGACACCAAAAAAATTTAGGAGTTACACAAGATGGTACTTGATATTTCTTTTTATCTTTTCAAGTGATAAACATAATCTGTTCAAGTGTTACTTAAGATACATATGTATATTTATTATTTCAGAAAGTGAAAAAGAAAGGAAAACATATGTTTAGTAATTTTAAAATAAACTGTGCTATTAATATTTAATTTTTGACATGTAGTAGTGCTAGTATTTGTTTTATCTCTTAATTGTCAAAAACTTAAATTCTCCAAAACAATGTTTTTCTTTTTTAGAACAGCAATTAATAAATTTGTTTATTTGACCAAATATTTTATGTATTTGCAGTAGAAGTTGCTTTAAATGGACATTGGAAGTGTTGCACTGGTCTCTTCATACTACACTTGGTTATATTCTAATGCTGGCAGTTATGACATACAATGCATATATCACTATTGCTATTGTAATTGGAGGATGTTTAGGATACTGGATATTTGGTCTTACTCTGGTGCAATTGAACATGCAACGATTTCGTCACAAACCAGAAGTGGAATGTGATAAAAACTGTGATGGTAAGTTTAAACATCTTCAAAAAGACAACTATTCTAAGTTTATTATTGTAATTGCTTACAGATATTTCTACAAACCAACAGAGACGTGCATCAATTGTTTCTGTTGTTGCAGAACAATTAGTCACTGAGGCAACCATTGAATTTCACTCACAAAACAATGCCTAAGGTTACCAAATACAGCAAAAAGTCTGATATTATCTAGAATAATTGTTGCTGTTATTGTGACACTGTCACATTATATATTTACATATTTATATACATTTTTATATCGATATTTTATTTTAATCAACACAAACTAAGATGTGTAGAAAAATTACATTTTTGTAGTTAAGTGATTGCAATTTATAAATAATATATTTATGTACATATATATACATTTGTAGATCAGAGATAAAAAATATATTTTTAAATATTCGTTATATATACAATAAATTCATTACACAACAAATTCAATATATGCTTATTTAAAAAAATATTGCAAACATGATCAGACTCAATCAAATTATGTGAAAAATATAGTAACACAAATTGATGGAAAGTGTTTAATTTCCAGCAATCTTTCTTACAATGTTATGATTCATAATAAAAATCAGCAATAATTTTATTAAAAAATGTAATTACCTCAAAGTTCTTGTGACAAAATAAAAATGTCATTCATAAAATGTACAAAATTCAATATATAGCTCAAAAAATTATTTCCTCTTCTATGTCATATAGGTTGTCAACATCCTGTTCTACACCATCAAGTAAGAGTCCGTAACATGGACTTTTAATATTCGTAAAATGTTGATATGGATTTTTTAGATCAATAGATTTGCCACATAACCAGCAGAAGTAAGAATAGCAATGTCCACATGTCATTTTGTTGCAACCATCGATTTTGCTAATAGAAGAGTGACATTTTGGGCAACTCTTTGTATTTTCCTGAATAAATGTTAATAATTTTATAAATATAATTAAAAAATATGTATAACATAATACATAAAATATATGTAAGTATAATAATTGGATCTTTAAGTTTTTTATCATCTAACATGTCATTTTGTCGATATCTGTATAAAAAATACATGTATTTGTGATACATACTTGAAGATATTCAGTTGTAAGATGTTTTTGAACCATTTGTATTTGACGTTTGCCATATTTTCGCTCTAACTGTATTCTCTCATTATCATCACTATTTTTGTATTCGTTAATAAGCTTTTTAACATCTTCTGATCCCAATTCGCAAGGCTCAGTACCATGATATATCTATAGTAATATGCAACATATTATTTTATATTTGTTTAAATAACATCTACAATGACGTAATATTTTATTTTTATTACCTTACAGCAATATATGCAAAAGCAATATTTGCAATTAGGACATATCGGTGCGGGATCACCTGGAGTTCTAATAATTGGATATTGACATGAAATTTTTGGACAATATATTATATCATCCATAGTATCCAATGCTATTCGCAACAGAAGTTCTTCATATCGTTGAAACATGTTGGGACAGAGATTCTTAATGTCATCGGTATTTATTTTGTTATCGCAACCTATTGTCGGGCACATTATATTCGTAACGTTACACTCAATTTTACTACATATGTGTTGTTGCATACAATTTTTGCAATAAATATGTCCGCAATTTTTTAGTTCCACACACTTTTCTCCCTTATATTCGTCGTAACATATGTAGCAAGTATAACACGTCTTATTGAAGTGCACTTTATGTTGTTCCTGATTATAACTCATTAACAATGTTTCAGGATTTATGAATAGAGCTCCGTTTATAGCTCTAAAATCGGAGAGACGAGTTAAGCTCGATGTGACAGTGTCGTTTGGTGATTTGTAAAGTATATACATGAAGGAAACATCTAAGAATTCTTGTATGCCAAGAAACTCAAGAAAATCATTTCGTAGAAACTCTGCCCATAAGAAAAGAATTTCACTGCCCTGATTATCTTGCCATATTTCATCAAGTTTTTGACAGACAAAAGATATCTCCCAAGGAGGCAACCAGACAATACTAATGCGAAAATTTGGTGGCTTTTTAGATGGATATGTGTCTGGAAGACAAACGTAGAGCCTGATTGGTGGCAGATGCTCAATAAATATTTTATCACAGGAAACATCAGTGGAACAGCAGTTATTGACTTTTACTTCCAGTTTCTTAGGAAAGCTATAAAATACATTAAATGTGCATTTTATCTGTTCGCCTCTTGAGCAAAAAAACTCAGTTTCATGGTAAATACTAGAAAGAGCAGTCATTTCTTCTTCTTGTCGTTCATGATCACTTATAATTGAATGAGACATCTCAACTGAGAAATATTTTCAAAAAAATCCTGTTGAAAAAAATATCAATTTTATTATTTGTTCTTTTTTTCTGTTAAATATCTATTTTTAATTGAAAAAAAGATATGTATCATTTCTCTTAACCCCAATTTCTTTATATCTCTCAAAAGCTATTTTCTAGGTAAAGAAATACAAAAAGATATACTTTATCTAAAAGATAGTTATTGAGAACTTATCAAAGATGAAGAAATTGGGCATTAATTCAGCTAATTTATATTTTATAATTTTTATGATTGATATTTAAAAATCTATCCATGTACACGTAAATAAATAAATAAATATATATATATATAATTGTTAAAAAATATAAATAATGAAGAATTGAGCTCATTAAAAGTTCATTATTAAAACCAAGCTAAATTAATAAGGAATGTTATACATAGAAAAGTACCAAAAAAGACTACACAGATATGATAACAAACAGGAAAACAAATTCCAAGAAGATAAAAACAATTCAATGTATATACACAAATATGTCTTTAAATGTTAAGGCATTATTGAATTTTAATATGAGTACAAGCATAACGTATTTTGTACAAATTAATGAAAAAAGAGCATTATTTTGCGTATTTACCAAAATTGTGAAAATATATTTAGTATCATCAATATTACTGGACATTTTTCTTTTTTCAAATTTACCAACTTTTGTAAGACGTTTATTTTTTATATTTGCTTTCACAATCAAATACTCTGACACAAATTAGTTGACTTTATAACGGTTAACAGAATCATTACAAACTGATACAAACTAACATTGATCAGATACAGACCTCTTACAGCAGAGCTCCGCTTTTTTCAAATCAGCGGGATCCACTCGCATTTCTCACACTTCTCCTTTATTTCCCCTACTTTTTTGCCAAACTTTAATGAGGAGTACAGAACGATACTTTCACTCGCAAGCAGTATTAGTGAGAATAGTTACACCAGCTTGTATACATCATAATAGTAAACTGCTACAGTAACATTGAGCAACATCCATGGGCCTTCATGGCCGATGTTCATAGTCCAATCTTTATTTTAAGGTCTATTTAAAAAAACACAGAGTCGCAGGTCTCGTGAAGTTGACAACACGTTAGTCGATTTGCTGATTTGACCAATGTGATTGGTCAATTCTGTAAGATCCGATTTAAAAAATCACATGCAGACCGTTAAATCGAAACGGAAAAGATTTATGGTGGAAGGTCAACCGAATGCAAATAAACGAGCGATTCCAATTTTAGCAATCCGGGAATCACGGAACAAAATTACTCTGACTGATTAATTTTTTCTCATAACTCTTTTTCGTTAAAAGCGAAATGAAAATGAGTTGTGGTGGGAAAGCAACCAATCAGAGTAATTCCATTTAAATACGTAATCGCTTCGTGCATGCACGCGTGATCACAGCGCATGCTCGTATTCCACCGCGTGCAGCAAAAGGATTTTCTAACCTAACCTAACCTAACCTATGAGATTAGCAACCTTAATGCCTGGTTATTCGCTTCGCGGTACAGACCGACACTTCTTTCTTTTTATTTAAGCAAAATTGCGTTAATTGATCCTAAATTTATCACTATTGGGCGTAGTTAGTGTTCTCGAATTAATTACTTAAGATCGGACTATAAATAATCGGTTTATAAGTGCAAATTGGAGTCATATAAAAACATGACGTCTGATGTGTTTGTGGCGGGAAAAATTATTGCGTGCAATTTTTGCACTCATGATAAAATTAAATTAACTTGACACTGTTAATTGTTTACTTTTTATATATAAACAGCGTTCTTTTCAACATTTGTGTGCTATTTCTTGTAATGCGATCTTTTGGTTTTTTTAATTAAGTTATAATTAACTTGCAATAAAGATTTAAGTTTGAAGCGCAGAGGTGGAAAGATGATATTTGGAAAATATTTTCACGAAATTAGTTTCCAATATTTGCACAGCGCAAATATTTGGCAGTTATATAATAAACATCTGCTATGTTGATTTGAAACGTTCTTAATATTATTTCGAATGTAAAGATACTACAGAAGACTGATCTTTGAGAAGTGTAATGTTCCATATTTGATATCTGTGTTGTAATATGCTCTTTGACACTTAAAAAAGATAAAAAAAAAAGTTACTGTTTCATACTTCTCGTACGATTGCATAATTGGTGAGTCTCAATGTTTTCTCAACTAAGGAGAATGACGCACAACGGACTTTTAGGTTGCTCTACTGTAGCTGGCGGATCTTATGAGGTAAGTTTATTTATAAAAAAAAAATTTGCAACAAATACATAAATTGTACGAATCGGTTCTCCCAGTATTTAACTATGTGAAAGAAATAATGGAACTAGAAATTATTGTGTAGTTTCCATTATTTAAGAAAATTATAATTATTTACAAAGTTTATTATTTATTTTTTAATATATAATTGCGATATTTCTGTACTTATGTTATTGTGTTTTTCATATAACAATGTACTTTTTTGTAGGAAGCCTTAAAAACCTTGTGTCTTACTATGCAAAGCAACACTGCGTATCTGAGATCTGTAGAAAATAAAAATGATGTGGAGAAATTAAAGGCAACAGAAAAATATTTGTTTCGGTAAAAAGAAGTTATAAAAAATAGTATATATATTTTTAAAAATACATACATATATATAAAGATTTAAGTAAAAACATACTTTATTGTAATATTTATGTAATGTTTTTTTATATAATATTTATATATGCTTTTATGTATATATGTTGCATTTAAATTATAATGGTATTATTAAAATTCCTTGTGTTTTGGAATTTATTACTGTAGAGCTGGTATTACTATGGAACAACTGGATAATTTGTCTGTCATCCATGTGTCCGGCACAAAAGGCAAGGGTTCGACATGCGCATTCACAGAGAATATTTTGCGACACCACGGCTTTAGCACAGGATTCTTTAGTTCGCCTCACCTAGTTTCAGTACGAGAACGTATTCGACTAAATGGTGAACCAATCAGTCAATCACACTTTACTCATTTCTTCTGGAATGTCTATAGAAACTTGGAACAAAAGCGAGAATATGAATCTGACATGCCGACATTCTTTATGTTTTTGACGATCCTTATGTTTCACGTATTCTTAGAAGCAAAAGTCGATGTGGCAATTGTTGAAGTCGGAATTGGCGGTGAATTAGATAGTACCAATATTATACGGAATCCGGTCTGTGTCGGTGTGACGAGCTTAGGTCTGGATCACACCGACTTGCTAGGTAATACACTTGAGGAGATTGCTTATCAGAAGTCAGGGATTTTCAAACCACACGCTGCAGTCTTTACGGTGCCGCAATCAGAATCTGCAATGCGTGTTCTACAAAAACGCGCCGTTGAAAGACAATGCAACAGTTTCCAAATAGTTCCTGTGATACAGGAGTGCGAGTGGAACGATGCTTTCTCGTCGATTAGACCTAACGTCAGTGATGCACAACGAGAGAATGCTTCATTGTCAATCAACATGGCATTTGAGTGGATAAAATCACGCAGCAACGGACAGTTGCCCTTTTTTATAAACAATAATATTACTGATTTTTGCAGCACTAAGAATGATTTACGTCAGATTATTTCTTTAAGTAAAGTTACGACAGCGTTAGCAAATTGCAAGTGGCCGGGTCGCACGCAGATTCTCAAGACTAGCACGGCTGACTTCTTCGTGGACGGTGCTCATACTGTTGAAAGTATGATTAATTGTATATCGTGGTTCCAAAGAACCAGCCGTAAAGCTTGTAGAAAGATTCTAATATTCAATACTAGCGGAAATCGCAATTCTTTGGAATTATTAACACTGTTGAAACCTTTAGACTTTGATAGAGTTTATTTTGTTCCAAATTGTGCCGGGATTTTTAGCGTGGAAGATTTGAATCTAATAAATTACGAAAAACTAATCGATGAACAGAAGACAAAGTGTAAAAAACATTGCGAATTCTGGGGCGAAGACTCAGTGCTGAAAAACAGCGTTGCCGAAGTGCTTTTTGATATCAAAAGATATGCGTTGTCGCAGATGGCCAGTGACGACAAAGTAGAAATACTTGTAACAGGATCTTTACATCTGGTTGGCGCGTTGTTCACTGTATTGGATCCTGATTTGACAATGACTTGTAAGTTTTAATACAATATATAATATATATGTTACATTTTAATATATTATATTATATATATTTATAATTTTATTAGAAACTTTAAAACTCCATATATATAGAAAAAAAATTATAAATTATATATAGAAATTAAAAATTATATATATATATATATATAGAAAAAATATTAAGAGAGAGATGTGATAAGTTAGTTTATTTTTTTACTTGAAACATTTGCAAGTCTTTACACATAAAAAAATACTTGTGTGTGTTAAAAAACATCTATTTTTATTATATAAATTGTAATTTAGAAAAATATGAATCTCTTAAGTCTTGTTCTTCTCTTTCCCTAATATATTGTCTGAAAAAAACAAGCTTTTAGAATATTATCTGGAAAAATAAATAATTAAAAAAAACTAAGGTAAACTAAGGTAAAAGTAAGAAATATATATAACTCTATTTGTTAAATCTATATAAGTCGGAAGTAACTTTACTGTGAGCAATACAAAATAATTAATATGAGAGATGGGGAGTGTGAGAAGAGATTAAAATAAGAGTTGGTTTTTTTTAGAAATCGTAAAACTATATTTTATATATATAATACATTTAATAATGATAACAATGATACAAGAACAATGTACGCATCATATTGTGACGTAGTTTTTCAGAGCGACGCTTCGCACGCGATGATTACATGTTTGTAATTATCTTTGTTTTTTTATTATGTTTGTACTTGGATAAAAATCGATTGCTCGCAATACGGTTGTACCCGATTGTAAAGTTATATATTTGCGAGAAAATATGAATTTGTGCTGAAATTGGGCGAGTTACGTAGCGTATAATATAATTTGCGTACAATATAACGCAAGTGATACATGATGATACCTAACCAAGTACTTAAAACATCTTTGGATGGTATTCTAACTCGGATTCCGCTTCGGTGTCAGAGAGACTAAGTGAAACGCCAGTTCTTCGTCTCAAACGATTCTCTTCAGGACTCTGAAGTCAAAAGTCAAAATGTATCATAATGTATTATAAATTAACTTGCGAAGAAACGTTCAGTGAATTTTTACTATTTTGTACTTATACACATTTATACAAGATAGGTAAGCAAAATATATTGTGATTTGACAATCTAATTTATAGTGACACATTACTTAAAAAAACGCAATAATGAAGCAGAAGATGGACTGCAAAACTTTACCTGATCTAAAATACCGGCAGTAGGTTCGGACGCGTATCCTACTTCCTGTGCATCTTCTTCTAGATCCGCTTCGTACTCTTCCAGCTCGTCCGAGTCCGAATCTAAGTCGAGATCAATGTATTTGTTACCGCGCGAAACTTTACACACCATCTGCGCGAGATCGGTGAAAGTGTACGAAGAGGGTGACTGTTGATTAGCGGCTTGATGCTTTGCTCGCATAGCTCTGGCATTCTCTCGATCCGCGTTGAATCGAGGCAGAACTCCTGCTTTTGACTGATCTTCGAAATACGTTTTTCCTAAAAAAAAATGTATACATGATGAATGTATATATGATGTATATATGATTTGTCTTTATTAGATCTTTACATTTAATTAAATTATATTTGTGTTGCTAAATAGAATTTTTTAAATTTAACACGAACACAAACGCATAAATTTTTCTTACCATGTTGATATCCTACGTCTTTGATCTCGTCAAAATTGGCAAATTGTAGAGTCTTGTATTTATCAATAGGTGGCCTGATGTATTCGCAGTAATCCGAATTCTTCACCTCCTCCAACTGACGCACGCAGCTCACGTAGGCCAATCTGGATTGAATATCCGGCAAATTTGGCACTTTTACAGGTGTAGCAAATGGATTCCATCGTTTCCATAGTAACCACCAACCAGATAGCGAGTCTCCGTAATTTGTTAAATCAGTATCGTCCTGTGATCCAACGTCGATGGCCAAAATGTGATGTGCTCCTTGCCGCAACATTTCGTCAGCTTGAAAAAAAAAAACAGAAAATGTGTAAATAAAAAAGTAAATAAAAAAAGAAAGACTTTTATCTGTTGTTTATAAAATATTCGTATACTTATATATACGAATATACTTTTGTGTATAAAGACGTATATATTAGTGTTTTTTTTTATATAACTTTTATAATTATATTATTATCTTATATATAGTTAATACTTTGAGTGTACACATATAAATTATATGAGCTTCGGTTAGGATTAACGTGAACAATAGGAAATACCTGGTACATTATTAACATAACACCCGTCGACCAAAAGATGCCCATCAATGGGATCGCAAATCGGTGGAAAGACACCCGCAATAGTCATACTGCTTCGTACGTATCTCCATAGTAAACCTAAATTGACTTAGCTATTCAGAATTTGACGAGAGCATCTTTTTATCAACGGGAGTGAGCTTGATGTTTTTACTAACTTCATATCTCTGATAATGACCGTATAAGTTTTGATTTCGTGCGAAACTATATATGAATTGATATAGAATTTAGTGCGAGAGAGAGAGAGAAAGATTTTCGTTCAAATATCAAACTAACTTTCTAATTTAAATTTGCCATAAGCAATGTCAGAAGTATTCATTCTTTTAGCATTGTGTGTGCCATTTGTGTATATATATATATATATATATATGTATGTATATACACACGTGTGTGTGTATGTGTGTATACCCAATTTTACTACTTGAATCACGTACTATACTGAAGTTGTATTCAATTATTTTTCTCTAATTTTTAAATTAAAATTTATGTGCGTGTGTGTGCGAAATCAACACGGTATTTATCTGTGAAATTACCTGGAAGGTTATTGACGTACCCGCCATCGAGCAGGAGATGGCCATCAACAGGGTCACACATGGGTGGCATATAACCAGACAATGACATCGAGGCTCGAATGTACCGCCACAGCGATCCTAAACACGACGAATGATTTTCTTTATCTTTGCATTTACATTAACCAAAGCACTTCCTGTATTCTTAGGTTACATTTTTATATTGTAATGATCGAGTTTTTTCTATATACATGTATTTCAATTAATTGAAAAATTAATTGACTATTAAATAGTTTTTATAATTAAAATGTGTGTATGTACATATGCTTAATTTTGCATATACATGTGTTATACATAAAATAGATCTTGAATATGATGTCAACTAAAACTTAATATTTAAATGTTTATGGTTTTCTCTAGTTTGCATTTAAATTGAAATATGATGTGAATCTCGTGTAAATTGATAAAAAAAAAAAAAAAAAAAAAAAACAAACAAAGAAATACTACTTGCTGAGAGTGAAACAATATTACACAAGTGTTTTCAAATTACAATTTAACGATAAGCATACAGGAAGCATATAACATCTAGTTTTTAATGTGTACATTTGCTTTACGAGTAAAACTTAAAAATATGCCTCGAATTGTTCGGTTTTTTTCTTTAAAAGCGACATTAAACGGAGAGTACGTCAACAATGGATTATCCAAAAAGCTCACTCCCGCTTTTTAAAAGCTTGTACTATTAATAATTGTAATTGATAACGCTAAGATGCATACAACTCTACATGAAAGAACAACTTTACATGCCACTACAAAGCTATGATGATGAATTGATAAATGAGATATAGATCTATATATCTATATACTTTCGTTTTTAATGAATGGCATCCGATTGCCGAGACAAATAGTTTTGGACACTATCGTAGAAGTATTTCTACAAAAATGTCAAAGCTTCCAGTTATACTTCCAAAAAATCTTATTGCACTTTTATCATTTTTTACATTAAAAAATTCGAATTCTAAGTTCATTATACTTGTAATGATCTCAAAAAATGAAAATATCAATTAAATAAAATATCAATAGAAAGAAAATTAGTTAAACGAAACTGGAAGAGTTACGGAATCTATCAAAAAAAATATATATTTCAATTTAATACAGACCGTGTCTATGCGTGCGCATGCAAGAGTCCGTGATGTCTGTGGTTATAGTGAAATATGGGAGCCACAGGTCTTCTATGTACGTATCGCCGAAAGTTTGTTGTATCGTTTTATTAAAATCTTTGCCAGAGAACATTGAAGTCATCGGATAAGTCAAATCCAAAATCTGTCGCCACCATTGCGTCATTTTCTATCATTGAAAATTAAAACAATTAAGAAAAACTCCGTCAAATACGCAATTGATGGTATAAAGAATTACATATAATTCGTCGATCTCACCTTGGACCATTCCCTAGCCTTCTGTGTAGTAGTGGTGATGTTCTTCTCCATACACCACAACGCGCCCATAAAGGCGCCAATGCTGACGCCTCCAACCATATCTATAGGTATACCTGCCTCAATGATGGCCTTAAGCATGCCGACGTGAGCAGCGCCTCTCGCACCGCCACCGCCCAATACGAGGCCGACCGAAGTTCCGGTTAACCATCGTGCAAGTCTACTAAAATCGCTGTGTACGTTTGGCTCGGACATGAGCACTTTGGAGTACAACTCGTTCTGCAACACATAATGATCAGACATAAGTAAATATCTCTGTTGTTTTCATTTATCATGAATAATAACAAAAAGATTTATGTTGGATAAGTAGATTTTTTGAATAATAAAAAAAAACATTTTCTCAATTACAATTCTATATTGCGATCTTCTTGTGAACATTCGTTTCGGACATTGAATGTGATGATGGCTAGACACCCATGATCTCATATTCAGCCACTGAACGGTATTTGTAGGTCGCTGGCCATTCTGTTCCTTGTGCAGCAACACGAGTTCTTTCTGTGTTCGCATTACTAGACGTTCTATTTCGCGTTCCGTTCGACCAATCGACGGCGGTCGGTCGCCCAGGCCTACGATGAGAATACAATCAGCCTGCCTCACGCATCGCTGAGTCCATAACGTGTAACTCGAATCACACTGATACAAAGAAATTCTATGCTGATCTTCCTGTTGTGCCAGCCAAGAAGTCAGCCGGTATTCATTCGCAGGCTCCATAATGGTTGTTCCTAAAGTCTGTGTAGAAAAGAACATCTCTTATTTCTTGTTAAATTATATCAAGAAAATAATATCAACAATAATCAAGACGCAACAGCGCGATTGCAACACATTTACATACTTTTCTTACAACTTCCGAAGTTAAACGTAGACAAGAACCGATAGCGCATAAAGAATGATATAATTCGTAAGTAAAGGCAGTCAGTGGTACGTCATCCGACACGGGCACTATAGCAACAGTTGAGAAATTCACTTGTGCGGGTCTGGCATCAACTGTTGCTGCGGCTCGTCTGCAAAATAAGTTAAGAACAAATGTTTTTTAAAAGTTCACACAATGCACATAAAATTAATATCAAAACTACATTGAGACTTACTGAGTGTCATTGCTGCCGTTTTTCGTATGCGGCTGCTGCCAGGTGCCAAGTATGCGATGACCGAGAAGGTTTATCAGTCTTGTAACAACAATCGGATACCTGAGTTTGATCACATTGAATAAACCTTCCGGCAATTTTGCCAGTTCAGAATCCCGAACTGCCATAACCGTTGTCGATCTCGGAGTCTGTGTTACCATTTCTACAATTCCTACCAAGTCACCTTTTCCGTATTCTGCAACCGGCTCCTTCTTACCGTTTTTGTAAGTAATCACCGATCGTAATCGTCCGCTTAACACGATAAACGTCGAGTCTGACTCATCTCCTTGTCTGTAAACAGCTCTTCCGCTTTCAAGGAACAACCAGTCAAGAGCAAAATCCACCTAATTTCCCAAAAAAGTAATAAATTCAATCAAATATTCTTAGTACTATTTTAATTTTTTCTTTTTTGTTCAGACAAATTCGTACCTGTCTCACAAATGGACTCAGTCTGCGAACGACAGTATGTGCCACATGCAAAACAACCGTAGGTTGATCTCGCATGATAGCAAAGAACGTCGATTTACTGAGTAACGCTATGCGACTTGGATGTTTTGCTCGGATTGTATAAAAAGATGGCTCGCCGGTTAACACCGCTAAACCACCAACAATTTCACCTTGATGAGCGCTAAACATATGCACTTCTTGACCTGCGTCCCGGCTTTCCGATACTTTTTGGCTTACTATCAGCGAGCCCGAAAGCACGTATACAAGTGCGACGTCCTAACACATCATATATTTATGATAAAAGATAAACATCATTATTTAATATTCACTCATTTTTCTCTAATATGTTTATATTTTAGGTGTAAGAAATATAATAAAAACCTTGTGAGATTCTTCCTTCATCAGATAAGTACCAGCTGGCACTTCTCTAATTTGGACTTTGTCTTTGAGCACCGTCTCATCCTCTATGCCGAGTTCACGAACAAACGCATCAGTAGCTATCTGTATAAGTTGCGCCTCATCCATTTGCTGTTGCTGTGCTATTTCGATGGTTTGACGCTTTTTGCTAGAATAAGTACTTCCCGAATGAGAGACTTCTTGATGTGATCCGTGCGCAGACTGAGATGCTGTTGTGGGAGATGAAGTTGGCCAGTGAGAATCACATTCCGGCACCATATCCGCCGAATTCTGATTTGATGGTAAGCTCTGATTCTTCCACTCGACATTGCCCTTTCCTCTGCTCCATGAATTAAGTTAATGTTTAAAGAAATAAGTTTTGATAAAAGATTTTTTACGAAACAACTAAGTGTTTATATTAATCAAAACAGAAATACAATAATTTATTCAAATTCTTACCGTCGACTTGTCGACTTGTCTATAGGCACAGGTTGAGAACTGCCTGAATTAGGTGTGTCGCGATGCGAAACGTCGTTTGAATCGTGCGTTTCTGCGCCAGGCATGTTCTCAGGATTTTGCAAAGTAAAATTGTCTCTAGTTCTCGATCTTACTGGCGAGCCGGAAAACGGACTCTGCTTCTTCTTGTGTGATCCCTGATTGACTAATTCCGCGGAAAGACCGAGATATTGATGCAAAGCTGTAAATGTAACTCTCTGCAAGCGTACCATAATGACCTGGATAACTCGAACAAAAGCGTCAGGATAATCTTGAAACACCTGCAATCATACGTACCATTTTTATGTTTACACGAGATAAAGAGAATCATAAAATAATTCAGAGAAACTGATATAAAATATAAACAACGTAACGTACTTCTTGAAACGCGCTCATCGGTAACTTCACTACAATAGAATCTTCTACAGCTCTTGCTGATACAGTCTTGTATGTACTCGTATGCCCGGTAAGTACATCAGTAAAGCTAAGAAGACTGGTAACCGATTCGCCTGTTTTTACTATCTTTAACGATATCTGAGAGCCATCGGGTCCAGTGATATATACATTGACTAAACCTTGTTGCACTATAAACAAATTCTCATCAGGGTCCCCGATTTTGAACAACGTACTACCAGCAGGTAAATTCATGATTTCCGTGTATTTGCATAATTTTAGGAATACAGGTTTTTCGAAATGGCCAAATACTCTAATGCTTTGCAGCATATATAAAGCATCTGGTGGCACTCTCTCGCCAGGTCCTAAATCTTCTTCCAGATATTCAGCAGGTGGTTCCAATACCTTCGAAGTAAATAATTACGTCATAATAATAATAATGTCAGCAAAAATTATATTATTTTCACTTAATTATTACACATACCTTTAATTGTTGCGGCGCAGTTTCTTTTTTAAGTTGCAATAGACGGCGAGCGAATCTCATGACCGCTCTCCTCTTTTTTCCTTGTCCAGTGGCATGAACTTGGCCACCAATGGATTTTACTTTGCGCAACATCTTTCTTCCATAAAAGAGTACTTTGTCTCTCTTTCTGAACCTTGGCTTTCCAGTGCCCACTCCAACAAATTCCTTTACTTCTGGTAAAAATTCTTTGTTCTTCCATTTTCGTAGCACAATGATTGAAACTACTAGTAGAGCAAGTAGTAGAGATGTAGCAATTATAAAAATTGTCCGTGATGTCTGATATTCCTCTATAAATCTTCCAATCCATCTTGAGAATATATATGATCCCAAGCTTTCATTGACCTTATTAAATAATTCTACCACCTGTATTTCACATATTTTATCATTATTTTTTGTTTCTTTATAAGTATATTTAATTTTCTTAAATACATAATTTACATATTATTTCATATTAGAGTTTATTGTTTTTATGAGCAAGTCAAATATAAAAAATACTAAAATATATATGTATATATATACAGATATATACATATATATATAAACAAATATATACACATATAAACACATTTCAATTCTTATTACAGTTTTGTCACAATTTTATTATTGTAAATAAATTATTGAAACATTGTATTTCTTTAAAGTAAATAAATATTGTGAGAAGCACCCGAATTACAAAATTTAAATAATAACAATATAACTACTTTGATCAAAACATATCTCATTTTTTCATAAGATACATAAAATAACTGACGTAGTTAAATTTGTTTCAAAATTTATATATCATGAATATAATATTAATACATTTTTTTCTCTTTTAAATACATATATATTCCAAAGAAGTACAGACTATGTAATAAACAAGTTTGATAGTGGCACTTGATGAACATGTCACGTTCCTGATCTCTACAAGTTTTAATTTTAACAGCAAGTTTTTCTTAATTAATAAAATTACTATATATAACTAGATATATACAGCATGCCACGCGCTTCTTTTCAAAAAAAAAAAACATCTTTGTGATATTAATCAAGAGAAATATGACAAAACAAAAAAGATTGACAGTAAATACAACCTCCATAGTGGGCATTCATGTCTCTTTGTTAAGAATCCGAGGCGGAATGTACAGCGATCAGATCACAGTTGCATACGACGTCATCAAGCGCGTAAACATGGAAATGTTGATTAAGAATACAAAAAAGATCATTTATCTAACGCAAGTAACGACCTTTGATACTTCGCTCGAGTCACCCAGCGCCATTTTGTGACAACGAAAATCGATATACATATATAACTCAAAATACTTTCAGTGCAGCAAACAACTGTAGAATACAATTATTACAATTGTAGAAAAATCCTCAGTGTATCTTTAACCTTGTACTTATTTTATTCTAAAATGCTAATTTTATGAGGAGGCGTTCAAATTCGATACTGCGTTCATTGTTTGTACATTAGACATACACATGATATATTTTAATGATTTCTTTTTAATTAACAAAAATCCATTTAAAAATATCACGAAGATAAACGGAAAACGGGCTTGATTTGAAAACAGCGATTGTTTCGAGAGCAAAAATACACAAACTACTGTAATTATTGTATATAAAAATATACCATCCACATTTTAATTACAATTTAAATTTCGCGCGGCGAAATGTTATTTGTGCTCGCTGCCACCAATAGAAATGCGTCACGGAAATTCAGCCGGGTTTTCACGACGATCATTTCGGCCTTGGCAGTTATGCACGCTTCTTAATTGTCACGTGACCGTGTTTTAGTTCGCTCGAATTGGTAAGATGTGAGCAGAGGTCTCTGACGATGGTCGGGCATTCGCCGCGAGAGGGGGAGCTCCGTGCGCCCTTGATACCAACTGTGGTAACGACAGCGGGCAGTCGGTGGTTACGAGAGCGACATGTTGGAGTCATCTGTGTGACTGTGCGCGTGGCGGGTGTTCTTGGACGCGCGAGTTCCGTGCGTTTTTTGCGGGTGCGTACGGACACGACACGGACCGTGGTGCGGCCGTAGGTGTGCGAGGTGAAACGAAACGTGGACGTCGTCGTCGCTACATGTGAAGTGTCGCTGGGATAATTATCAACGCCCGCTGGTTTACCCGGCCCAGCAAACATGAGCTGGGGCACGGAGCTCTGGGTGAGTCTCGCTTGCTTGCTCCCACCCTTTCTCTCTTTCTCTCTTCTTTCTTTTTCTCTCTTTTTTCTCTCTCTCTCTCTTTTTCTCTCTCCTTTCTCTCGCTCTTTTGTGGCGTACGTTCGTCCTTGTCACTTCTCTCCCGTTTCTTCCCCGCGCGGCGCCGCGCCGCGGGCGCTCTGTCTTTCGGCTCGTCCGCGATCTCCTTTTCCACCTTGCAACCGTCGCCGAAAAGTGCGTTGCCGCCCGTTTGTCGGGAGGAAAGCATCGCGTAGATCTCGACCCGATCTCGTTGCACATGAACGGATTTAACGTTAAACGCGTTCGCACGTCCAGCTGCCATTCCCCGTATTTTATTATACAGCAAACGTCGTCTTCGCGATTCTCTTCGTGCGCGGATGAGAAGCGCAAGTTTTTGCAACCGAATGTACAACGCCGGACGCCGCGCGTTTTGTCGTACGTACGATTTTGCGCATATTCCGGATAATCTTTTTCCCTCTCGGCATCTGCATTCAGGTAGTCGGGATCGTGTATGCGTGACGTTTCTCTCTCCTTCTCTCTGTTTCTGTGTCTCTCTCTTTCTCTCTCTCTCTCTCTCTCTCTCTCTCTCTCTCTTGCCAGGCCACATACCTACTTCTCGGCTTCGCGAGAGGCCCGTTCACGCTGATGGCCGCTCTTGCTCGTTCCATTCATTCTCTCGCAAAAGTTCTTCCTGCGTTCCGTTGGTCACGCACAAACAACATTGCTGTTCGCGTTTGAGCGTACTTTTTCCAGCTCCCTCGGCCGAGATACACCCCCGTGAAACTTTCACGTCGTGAAACAATATGTCTCGCGTTTCCACCAAGACCATAAAATGCACCGGCATAGAGCGCAGAGTAGATTTTAATTGTACGCATTCCTCGATGACTGTGTTGGCTGTCGGGAAAAATTACACGAAACGTTATTTCGTCATCGTCATCCGCGTGACAAATTTTAATACCGAGTGCATGTGCACGCACGTCTTAGACATTTCGAGATAAGTGACTTCGAAATTCTCGTTGTACTGTTTCTTCGTTACGCACGTCTATTTCGCGTGTGTTGTCTATACGCACAATATGGTTGAAAAATAACACGTTCTACTTGATGTTTTACACGCACACATTCCGTGTTGTGTTGGTTACATAGATCGCGTCTTGTCACAATAACTAAACAAGAGTTGATAGCTTGACGTTTTTTCGCGTTGCCGAGAAATCGTCATTCTTATCTTGTGTGTCCGGAATGGACACACACGCGACTTCTTCCGAACGACAAAACGTGATTCATTTTCGAGATATACTCGGAATCCTCTGAAAATAGTATTCACTTGGTTTATTTTGACAACAAAAATGTAATTTTAAATCAGAAAAAGTTTTGCCGGACAGATTCTATATCACATATATAATCGTTGTTTGTATATCTCAAGTAATTTCCTTTTGTCATTACCGACAAATTGATTGCAAATGACTCGCTCATGACTCTTGAGATTCACAATTATAGGAATTTCTTACGTCGCTTGATCACATGAAATTCGGTTGATTGCGTATAACTAGGTAGATTGCGAGTGTTTTCTGCACGGCCAATAGTTATCAGCCTCTTCAGTATCACCTATCTATCCATTTATCTATCTCGGAGTCTTCACTCTCCGCCTCGAGCGAAGTCATTTATATATTTTACGATCGCGTACATTTGCGATTTTTTGTTTTCTTCGCAACATATGTTGGTCTCTTCTATTATATATGCGCACTTACCACCCCCCCTCCTCTCGCCACCAAACTGCTCATTAAATGCTCTTATTTACGCGCGTGGGTCTGTTTGACCATCGAAGCTTTCAATTTGCCTTTGAGCAAACTCATTGTAATATCTCGTAACTATACAATGGTGACTTTTTTTTCTGGCATATAAATGAAATATCACACATGTGTGTCCTTCAGAGGAAAGTTGTTACACACGTTCTGTTGTTACACTTCTTTCTCTCGAACAAATGTTTTATCTGTTAGATAAAATACACACACTCTACTTATCTCTATCAGTTGTTTTTTGTTTGGTTTTTTTGTTTTTTTTTTCAGCTCTATCTTATCTCGGCAGATGTTGTAAAATTTTACGAGCTGAATTAAAATTAAACAATGCTACACTGATAAATTTTGATATTTTTTGGTAATCTTAATCCTTGTAAACCCTCGCGAAACTTGGTTTCTGAGCGAGTTTTGAAAAGAAAATATTTTATCAACTACTAAGTGAAGAAGTTTTAAAAAAATTATAAAAAATGTCAAAACTACGTTATTTTCTTAATTCAGGATGTTGAATAAGGTTAATTCCATGAATTTTTACAGATTTTTTGCACCGTTTTAATCAATAAGAAGTCGTCTCAGATCTAAATTTCATGGTTTACAGGATTAGTATCTAAAAAAAAAAAAACGTTTTTTTTACAGGAACAGAGTTTAACTAAATTTAATCATCCTCGCTTTCCACGCATGTGTAAGAAATTTTACTTCACTATTAGAGTACAGACAACATTTTTCTGATGAGATTTAAGAGACTTCATATAATCTCTTCATTATAATCTGTTAATTAGATTCAATTTATTTTATCTCACGATCGCATAATCGCCACTTTTGTCTCGCAAAAATACTGCATTTCGCTCAAAGAAACATTACTTTCAGAAAGAGGGATTTTTTGTGTTCTCTCGCGCGCTCGTACTCACCGAATCACTTACACCGTAACCGCCGCGGTCGTCGTCGTCGTCGATGTCGTTGTTGTCGTTGTTTTCGCCGACGACGTGTAACCACGATATCCCCGAAAACCAGTTCGCGCTTGCCACGAGTTTTGCCTTTTCGGTTGCTAGCCGCTGGCGACGTTTGTCGTGTCCCCCTGCGCGGTTTCCCCGTTCTCCTCCGCTCGTTCCGCTCACCTTTCGTGCCCCCTCGCGGCACAACACCGGCCTTCCCTTCTCGCACCTTGCCCGTGGTGGAGCACATGTTCTTTTGCTTTCTTTCTCGTGAAATCTCCTCCAATGGCCGCGCGACGACGATGACAGCGTCGTCGATTCCGTGAGACGGATTTGGAATTGTGCGAAAGAGATGTCGATAATTTATGCTCTTGTTCTTTCAAACAAGTTTTTTTTTCGAAATTTACTTTATATTATCGATGAGAAGACGATTTGTATATCTTGTATAATTATTTAGTGATGCTGCAGATACTCTGAGCGGATACTCTAATGCACGGAAGTTTAAAATAAGAATTATCGAGAGAGAAGATGTGTAACGTTTGAACGAAGTTCAAACGCTCGTCTCTCGATGATGTTACCAGAAAAAAAAAATTCTTTATGCGTATTGCGTGCGCGTAAAATATCGATTCACTCGTTGCTCGCCAATGACGTTCTTGCGCGAACTCTCTATTAATAATTCATTTGCGCATTCCGCTCGCCATCATTTTCGTTACTCATCCCTCGTTACGCACTCGATGTACTCAATCGTCTACCACAGAGTTGTCGGTTTTAACAATCGCAGATAGATAAAGTATATCGCGTTTCGTTCGTATCTATCGATTTTTTGATAAACTTTTGAGAAACGCATTTGTTAAAGAGAAACAAGAATAATTTTTTTTTTTTAAATTAATTTCTTATTATCGTTTTTTACAAATAATTAAAATTTTATTTAAATTTATTTGGAAATTAAAAAATTTATTTTTAATATTACACAAAATTTATTTAAATTTACAAATATAAATTTTTTATAATTAACACAGGAAAGATATTTGAGAAAATCATTTCTTTGACTGGGGGATGAAATAGTTTATAACAGAGTAATAACAAATGTATATGTAAAAAAGTATGTACAATATGTTTATAATTTAAAAATAGTAAATATGCGTTTGTACTGATATTGATTTTCCCGACTGTCCCTCTTTGTGTTCTTTAAGAGGCTTTCTCTCTCTCTCTCTCTCTCTCTCTTTCTCTTTCACATTGTAAAGATACGAGAAGGCACGCCCGTCTCGTACGTGTACATATGCTCGCGAGTAGCAGCTAGCGGTTAAACACAGACGGGTCTTGTATTCACGCGAAAGTGTGCGACACGTCAATGACTCGTGATGCGAACGTACAACATTTTGGACTGGAGTCATTTTTATAACAGCTGATAACAGAAATTACGCAGTTAATCGAGAATCAACCGCGATATTACGACTCGATAGAGATCTGCCGTGTTTCTCATACTTAACAACCGCTTATTAGAAGTAGTTATCGAGCATTTGAGCGTCATTACTATCGTAAGATACGCATGTAGATACTGACATTTTTATAAACGCGTTTTAAGAAAATATTCGAACACAGATTTTATATTGCGCGCATTCGTTAATTGATTGAAAATTATTTAGAAAACTCCAAAGATCTTCTCTCCCAAGTTTTACCGGTCTCCAACAAAAAGGTTCGACTTTTTCGCGCTTTCTTGTTGCGAAACACTTTCTCTGAAAGTGTCAATTTTCAATCGGATCACGGAGACGAGTGAAGCTCCTGTGTGAACTATCGATTACCCAATTCACCTCGTAAACCAGGCCAACACTGACCCTGACGGAATTAATTTGGTCTCCCAACGCACATCGTGTGCTAACCGAAGAATCGATAGCACAATGCGGGGGCGGGACTCACGACCTGAGAGAGAGAAAGATTACAATCGCACGTACATACTTACGTCATAAATGTGTGCGATATATATCGCGATTCGGAAATGACGTCGCGCGACGATTCCCGATTTCGCGCCGGAGAAAGTAAACGCCGCGTTGCTCGCTTAGCTCCGTTCGTCTCTCGTAACCTTCGCAAGCTTTTCCCCTCTACGTTCATTTTGCTTCTATTTCCCGTGTGTAATAATAATCCGCGTAGGTTATGAACCAGAAGTGCGAGCGCGGCGACAGTAGCGGGACCGGCTCTCGAATGAGGCAAATAAATGCTAGGTTTTGTCGACAATAATCATATATACGTCTAATCGTTTGTT